GGAGTAACACCTGTATTCTGAAACATACAAGGCTTAGCACATTCCGGCAATTGATCGTAAATTATGTCGGCAAATCCATTGATTGATGCAGTCTTTGCAACACTTGGGTAGGTGGCATATGGGTTATCAGCAGTTGTGGTTGGTGCGGCAGTAATGCTATCACTGTCAGCAGCAATGACGAGCGAAAGTATCAGAGCGAAGTAATAGACCGACAAGTGTTTCATCTTTGCTCAAGGTGTTGTCTAAGTGAAGGACTAGTATAGCAAACTAAAAAGAATTCTCAAATGACAATATAGAGGAATTCGACTTCATTTTATGCGATTCCTCCAGCGTACGATGTGAATGATCTAAAACTGACAATCTCGTTCTTGCAACGCCGTATTTTCAACAACTAGTTAGGTTTAGACTTTGGTTACAATGGTCAATATCAGTGAATTGAGAAAACTACCCAATCAGATGCATTTTTGCAGCTATGGGTTATTACTATTGTTCCCTTTTAGATTCAAAAAAAAAAAGACTCAAAACGAACTTAGCTTCTCGCGTTTGTTGACTATAATGTAAGCAAGTTTGTACAACCTTTCATTTTTTGTTTTCTTTTGGGATAGTTTAATTCCCAAAACGATGGAACCTCTTCCTAATCGAATAACAGGAGCCACTTTGTGTATTGTAAACGATGCAAATAGATAGCATTCGAACACTGTAGAAAGGCCAATATCGCCTTTAAAAAGCATATTTTTGTGGTACGATCTAAAAACCCAAACCGGCAACGCCATAAAAACACACCTTGCAATGGATGTAAAGTCCGTTCTTTAGCAATCACCAAAGTAACCCCTCCCCACCACACACACACGCACGCACGCACACGCACATACCATGATGCCAATTGCTTGAGTAGATTTTTACTTGTTAAAAATAGAACAACTGTTTGATAGAACCCCTTCCAAATGGTTAGGGATTGTATTATTTTCTTGCAAATCGAATCATCAATGAAGTATTATTTACGGGGACTGAATACGGGACTTAACTTGTCCCTGTTATATTCTCCGTGCTTTGAGTAACATTATACGTTACGCGATTCCCGCTCTTGGTAGTGCATTTTTACTTTATGTCGGTCACGTAAAGCAACACAAACTGCATTTTGATTAATACGTTCGTTATGTGAAGTGGTTTGAAGAATTTTTTTTTTTCTTTCTGTCTTTGCAATTCAGTTTATGCCGGACACACAGAAGAGCTGAGTTACATTCCACCAACACGTAAAACTAAGTTGGCATTTCAGACTACTTTCACAACTGCAACTACTAGCATAGGAATAGTTTTTTTTTTTAATTCTTGTAAATGGCACAGAATAGCTTAATTCTTGAGAAAGCTTTAAAAAAAAGATTATGCTAAGAAAAGTCCTTTTTCTTGGTGTTTTTAGTCTGCGCGTTTGCAAAGTCGGCTTCTGACTGGTTGAATTGGTTTCGGTTTTCCAAAGGAATAGCCGCCTCGGCAGGCTGTAATTGTAATATTTAACACAGAAAGAAGGTATTTACCGATAGTTGCAGCACGTAGAAAATGCCAAGGAGATCAGAGCTTATTACTAGCCTCATACTGAGTTTAATCTATTCCATCAGCTGTTCTTGGTTGCAATTTTAGCTGGTGGTGTCACCCTAACACGTTAAGCATGATTACCCACTATCTGCTACAGAGATATTAAACGCCAACATAGTTTATTGTCGTTATGCGCAAAATGTTGGCTTTTCGTTTATTTTGTATTCTCTTATTGATGGATCTGATAAAATTGATCTTCTTTTGGGATTTCTTGTAGGACAAAGGCAAATACCAAGCACAAAATTAAAGACAAGCAAAATAGTTTTCTACGAGGGAACAAAGAAGGAGATAATCATTGTTTATTGCCGATAAATACGAGACTGTATGTCTGTCGTGTTATGAGCCGATAGTGACGCATCTTTCGGTAAAATTTAGAAAACAATAAAACACTTTCCACTGCTGGCTCTGTACCATGTCCGACTTGTGATCACTCTGTGTTCACGATTGATTTTGCTTCTATTGAACAATAGGCATTTTCATTTCGTTTACACTAAGTCTCAAAGAACAGCAGCTCTATGTATATTTCTTGTATGTTCGGATTTATCGCCCATTTGATGTTCCAAAAAAGTTTAAATTCTTGTCGATTTAAGCAAAGACAAGAAAAAAAAGGAAAATTAAAATAGGTATAATCCCACCATAAGTAGCTTTCAGCCAGTCAGGTCCTTTGAAAGTAATCAAAGATACAGCCTTGAACACATAAACCCCATGTATTGCTTGACTAGCAGAAGAATTCAGCAATGTCTTAAGCGAATACTCCATCGAGTGTGAACAATGCCTGCTTCAACGGGCTTAGTGCTCTAATAAGTTGTCCTTCAGTGGGTGGTGATATTTTAAAAGCCATGTAAGAAAAGCTTTCTCCATTATTTCTGGGCATCACTGGTCTTGTGCAGAACAATTACCATTGAACTATTGGTTGAAAAAGGGATTATCTTATATATCAACCTTTCACCATGCCTCATCTCATCCCATCCCAACTTCTTCTTCTACTCCTTCTTTGTCACAACCATGGGTGAATTGACTATAGAACTCCAAAAGCAGCTCGAGAGCGAGAGAAATACCAAAAGCCAATGGATCAGTTGTGCATTTAGTTTGGTGATTTTCGTTATACATGGTGTTATATTCTTTTGGATTCCTCGAACTTTGAGACAGAAACGGTTTGTTAAGACCAACAGATTCAAACCATACTTTATCTTACTCAACGTGTGGAATACTTTCAACTATACACTTTCTATAAAGCTCAGGAGCATGAATATATACTTTAAGCCAAGTGTCTTGATATTGTTTTTATTTTACATTTTATTGAATGGAAAGTTGTGTTACAATGATACTCATGATATCACCTATATTCCTCGAACATTTGTCATTGCCAAAAGGTGTGCAAGAATAGGTATTGCTCAGATTCCAGCTATTTTCCTCCTCATTACAAAAGGTGACTTTATAACGGGTGTAACTGGCCTCACATATGAACGTACAACATTTCTTCACATTTGGTTCTCATTCATGATGTTTGTTGTTGTCACATTCCACGTAGCTGTTGTGTCATACTACTGGGACAAACCAGAATGGACAAGCATACACCCCAGGTACCCTAAAAATGTCTATGGAATACTTGCTTATGTCACTTTTGTATTACTTGCCTTGGGTAACGTCAAATTCATACGTAAATACTGGTACGATCAATCAATGCTTCATCATCGTGCTCAATCCTTTATCATGTTGCTTATGGCATTTTTCCACAATAACAGCACAAAAGCCATGTTGATTGTGGGTGTTCATTTATTGGTCCTTGATAAAGTTATTGGGCGTATTTATGGTATTGTTCACAGTAAGAAATCACCTACCAAAGGTTGGTCGCAATTTGAAATGTTGGATGATGATATCATGAAGGTCTCCATCCCCATAAAAATTAACAAGAATTTCAACCCCAACTCATGGCTGGGGCTAATAAAGTTCAAGTATGGCAACTGGAAAGCTGGCCAGCACATTTATTTCAACGTTCGAAAGATTGATTTCTTTCAGCACCATCCGTTCATGATTGCTAGCTTGCCCGGATGCGGGAAGATGGTTATCATTGTGAGAAAAAGAAATGGCTTTACTAAAAAGATGTTTGAGAAGTTTATCAAGCTTCAAGAGAAACAGTTGAATGGAGAGGAAACAGAAATGGACTACATCTGTTGGTACAGACCAAAGTTGGACAAATGTTTTGCAAAGTTGAACCCAATTTTTTCAAAATTGGAACCTCTATTGCACAAATTAAAACTTAAATCAACAAAGAGTCAAGACCTGGCTGCAGAGCAGGATATCAGCACAGCCTTACCAGAGTACAGAAAGGTAATCAATCCCGAAATAGTTACTTTGAAGGTGGCATTTAGGGGACCGCTGGGAGGCAAGTGTCAACCGTTATTGACATTTGACTCAGTGGCATTCTTTGCTGAAGATCTTGGGGCTTCATTTATTTTACCAGTATGTTTGGACTTGTTGCAAACTATTGATAGAAAAGAAGTTGGCAAAGACTACTTGGGAAGACCAGCACACCCTATGATTTCTATTTATTGGTCGGTCAAGTCCTGTAAAGCTATAGGCTATTATAGTCATTTGATTAACAAGTTGATTCCATTTATCAAGGCAGGCAAATTACAAATCTCAGTTTTCGTCCAAGGACCAAATTCAAGGGAGCCAACATTGGAGTTGAACCCATTCAAGCCAAGTGTGTCCTTCTCAAAAAAGGGTACCGAGATTGATGTCACAACTGAGGTAGAGAAATACAATTCAGCAGACTCCTCGGACTTTGAGAATTCGCTAATTAAAAAGAGCTTCCAGCCGATGGATATTGACCAAACGCTAAAAGCTCACATCACTAGTATCCAATACTCAAGCAATAATTACTTCAAGTCTTTGGCTATCTTGAGCTGTGGAGAGGACGTCAATTTTGGCAAGAGTGTTGAGTACTATGTTCAAAGCTATAGGTGGGTGAAGGAGGCTCCAAATATCTATTTCTATAATGAATCGTATTACACATAGGTTTTATAGGTTTTTCGCAGTTTAAATACATTTGTGCGCAAAGAAACAAAAGAAATATAAATCACCCCTTTTGCCACAACTCTTCTTTCTCAGATATCACCCAGACATGTTTGGATCAGTATATCCAGCTTTAGAAGAACTAAAACAGCCACTTTCGGAGCAACAACTCAACGTGCTCCGCAACCAACTCAAAGCAGAGGAGCCTAAACCATCACCACAAACTCAATTTAATTATGCATGGGGGTTGATAAAGTCGCCTACGCGAAAACACCAACAGGAAGCAGTGGTGATACTCACAAAGTTGTACAAGACAGAGCCATCAATGAGGAGAGAAGTGTTGTATTACTTAAGTTTGGGATCGTTCAAGTTAGGTGATTACACCAACGCCAAGCGTTATGTTGAAACCTTGTTGAAATCGGAGCCGGAAAACCAACAGGCATTGGGTTTGTTGGAAAATATAGAAGATAAGGTGACACAAGAGGGTTTAATTGGGATCGGTGTTGCCGGTGGTGTGTTGGCAGTGGGAATTGGAATTGTTGGAGCGTTGGTTAGAAGGAGCAGGAAATGAGAGAAGATTTAAGTAGGTTATGTAGTCTGCATTGATGTCACGTATGAACAGACTGATGTAGAGGTGTAATGTGGATAGCTATCGGGGACATATTTGAACAACACGGATTTGTAAAAAAAAAAAATAACTCTCTTTGATAAGCAACATGAGCAATGACTTGGGAAACGATATAGCAAAAACTGTAGTCCAACAGTTTAATGAGTTGACTGTAAAGTCAGGAAAACCGGAAATACGTTCGAATGGAATAGAGGAATGGACTGTGCTATCCAGTGTTGTTGCTATCACTCGAGACGAAATTATACCCATCACCTTATCAACCGGGGTAAAAGTTTTACCAGACAGAGTCCGGAATTATCCAGACGGAAGAATAGTCCACGACATGCATGCGGAGATCTTATCATTGAGGCTTTTCAATTACTTTCTTTTGGAGGAAGCATCGAAGAAACAATCCAAGTGGGTCAATAGGATCCAAAACAAGTACAAGTTTCGCGATGATGTGAAATTGGCACTATTTGTTAGTGAACCGCCATGTGGAGACGTGTCGATGAATTACTTGTCGTCGTCACTCATCTCTAGCGAGGCTTGGGAAGTATCTTCACTGAACAATGGTTTCCATAGGGGCCGCAACAACTTCGACCAATTGGGTGTAGTGAGGACCAAGCCAGGCAGGACTGATAGCCTTATTTCATACTCAAAATCGTGTTCTGATAAAATATGCTTGAAGCAACTAACTGGCATTTGCAATGCCTCCTCAGCACACATCTTTGACCCCATTTATTTGGATTACTTGGTTGTTAATAAAGTTGACTCAATAGACTTTAACCGGTGCTTTAGAGATCGTTTTCAACTTGGACGAGACGTGCATTATCTACAATTACTCACACACGACGACGATGCTTACAAGTTTCACAAGTCAGACGAGAAAGAGCCGTCCCCGCTTTCATTGCTATACATCGTGCCGTATAATTTTCATCAGGTTTTGAACAATGGAGTGAAAAACGGTGCATTTATCAAAAACAAAGCTCCCCGACGTGGAGGTGAAAGCATAATCTGTAATAAGAGCATTATGAACAAGCTTTGCCAAGTTTGCCAAATAACTCAACCAAGCTACAGTTTATTCAAAATGGCCAATACTGAGCGACAGACACTCAAGTCTAAAGGTCAAGTTCTGCTACAGAACTGGAGACATACAAGCATTGATGATTTTAATTTATAATTGTATATTGCGTCTATTTAAATTATCAATCTGATTCCGATCCAGATGCTGAACCGTCTTCTGCTTCTTGCTCTTTTGCAAATGCTGCCAACCGTTCTTGGTCAGTGTCCTCCATCGATATAGCATATTCAGCACTCTCCAATAATTGCAACAACTTTTCATTATCCTTATTTACATAATCCCTTGGTCTCAACCCGTCTTTGTCCTTGATCCTAGGATCTGATCCAGCGTCCAACAAATTGTCGACGATGAAATAGCCATGATCTGGCTCATCTACTGTATATTTCACTGCGAGATGTAATGGTGTTTCTTGTGCTCTGTTTTGCGGGTCAATCTCTACTCCTTCAATATCCAACACAATGTCTGTAAACTCCCAGTTGCCCAAGTGGCATGCGATATGTAATGGCGTATTGTTCGTTATCACTTCATGAGTACTGTTGATCAATTGTGAAAGCTTCTCCTGGTCATTGTTCAATTCAGACTTGATTTGGAGTAGAAGTTCGGTGTTATTTCTTCTCGCTGCTTCTAGTATTTGCTCGGAGTATGAGGCACCTTCCGTTGAATGATTTTGCTCTTCAGACATATGGGCTTACTTTGTTGTCAGTGACTAATGTTTGAAATTTTGGTTCCGGGATTTTTCTCTATCAGGGAGGGGAAAAAAAAAGAAGGAATCATATAGGGGCGTCAAGAGGCAAAGTAAAGCGCAAGAGAATGTGTGTTTGAGGAGACTAGGTATTAGAGAGAAACTAGATACGAAAGGTGCCATTATTACTAATCGTTACTACGTTAGCATCACATACTGATGTAATTTCAAGGCTTGGCTACAACTTTGATATATTTGTTTTTCCGAAATTCAAAATCAATTTCTCTCTTTGGGATTTGCTGGACAAAAAGTTTACCGCTTCTTTGCTAAAACACTATCTCGTATATACATCACTCAAACATGGTCAAGTCCATCATTTCGCCATCAATTCTTGCATCTGACTTTGCCAATTTAGGCTGCAATTGTAAAAAGGTTGTTGACACGGGGGATGTCGACTGGTTACATTTAGATGTCATGGATGGACATTTCGTGCCAAACATTTCATTTGGCGCTCCAGTAATTGAAAGTTTGAGAAAACAATTTCCAAGAGATGAAGCTAAACCAATTGTGTTTGATTGCCACATGATGGTTTCAGACCCAGAACAGTGGATTGAAGATATAGCTAAAGCCGGAGGTGACTCCTATACCTTCCACTATGAGGCCACTAAAGATCCAGCAGCAGTTATCGCAAAGATCAAGAAACATGGCTTGAAAGCAGCAATGGGTATCAAGCCAAAAACTCCTATTGAGGCTGTTTACCCATATGCAAAAGATTTGGATATGGTATTAGTCATGACTGTTGAACCAGGATTTGGAGGACAAAAGTTTATGCAAGACATGATGCCCAAGGTAGAAACCTTGAGGAAAAAGTACCCTCATTTGGACATTGAAGTTGATGGTGGTTTGGGCAAGGAGACCGTCAAGCCTGCTGCATGTGCTGGAGCCAATGTTATTGTTGCTGGAACTTCCGTTTTCAAAGCTGACAATCCAAAAGAGGTAACTCAGTTTTTGAAAAATACCGTAGACGAAAGTATTTTAGCTAGAGAAAAGTAAATAGATGAGGGAGGGGATATAGAAATAAAGTCAGTTGATCTGTCAAACAGTGCCAAATAGTAATAATAGACCTTATACGGTTTCAGCGAGCCTAAATGTCGCTCGCTTTCGATCAACTATGAACTAAAAATAAAGCCTTCCTCTCTGAACTCCAAGTGCTGTCACTAAAAAGATTGCACTCCCAAAGTGGTTCCCTCAGCATCAGCGACTACTACAGGCCCATTCTTTGCACGCAATTCTATCAAATCCCACAATGCTTTCTTTGCCTGTTCCAATTTCGAATTTTTTAAATCATTATCAATATTCATAAATACGTCCTCCTCCTGTTTCTTGGTAAAGTACTTTTGATTTCTGGCAATCTTTTTCGCCCTCTTTTTGGACAAAGTATTGGTAGTCATGACAGAGTTTGGCGAAGGAGTCTCACCGGTGAATAAAGCAACAGCCTTGGAATCTGTTGGTCTTGGAGCTGTAGATCCTCTTGGTGCATAACGCGAGGTAGATGACTTTGTTTGAATAGCATTCCTGAGCGACCTCTTTCTGCTTAGAGACTTTGCATGGCTATGTGCTAGCATCTTAATCTTTGGCTTGTTTATAGCATTTCTTCCCGCCATGTTTGAAATGATAATAATGTGCTTAGAAGGGCATCATCTCTAATTTTTAAAAAAATAGAAAAAAGAAAATCTTTTGATGAGATTGTTCTAATGTCGCAAAACTTGTCTGTCTGTTTTTAAACGCGACAATGACAGTGAGTAACGCCACAGAAGCAAAACGACTCCACAACTGCTACCCCCTTTTTTTTTTTGTTCTTGAAATAGCAACAAATGGGTTCTTCCTTCCAATTATTCTTCTTCAACGATTCTTCAGCCATGGATGAAAAATTCGAGGTGAAGCACACTCCGTATGTGTCAAAGAGGAGAGTAAGTCCGTTATTAAAGACCTTGACATGGGTATCGGCAATTGGTCTCGTGCTTTACTTTAACGTATTTGGCACCCCTTTCTTTAGAACCAACGATAATCCCGAACTTGACCCCGAGCAAGTTATCTTGGATTCACTTAAAGTCAATTTGGCATCTGATTGGTCAAAGAAATATACAGCTGAACCTCACTTGGCTGGAACCAACTATGGGTTGGTCGAATGGACCGAAGAAAAGTTTAAAGAGTTTGGTTTTGAAACTACAATTGACCCGTATGAGATTTTGGTGAGTTACCCTAAAGACCACGACTTAAAGCTACTTGATTCTAAGGGAGAGGTTGTATACACAGCACCATTGAAGGAAGACGTCATCGATGAAGATCCAACTACTCACAATGGCACTGTTCCAACCTTCTTGGGTTACGCAGCAAACGGAAACGTAACGGGTCAATATATCTATGCCAATTACGGTACCAAGAAGGATTTTGAACTCTTAGAAGAAAATGGTATCGATGTGAAGGGCAAAATTGTGGTTGTACGTTACGGTAGAATCTTTCGCGGATTAAAGGTCAAGTTTGCTCAAGATTTAGGGGCTATTGGTGTTTTGATTTACTCTGACCCTGGTGATGATTTTGGGTTGACTCCTGCTAATGGTTACGACCAATACCCCAAGGGTCCAGCAAGACAAGAGAGTTCGGTCCAACGTGGAAGTGTCCAGTTCCTTGGAGGCGAAGGAGCTGCACCCGGTGACCCAACTACTCCAGGATATCCATCCAAACCAGATGCCGAGAGAAAAGACCCTCATGATAGTATTGGTAAGATCCCTGTGTTGCCTATTTCATACCGCGAAGTCAAGCCAATTTTGCACAAGTTGAATAAACACGGTGCTAAGATTGACGGCTTCAAAGGTGAGTTGGATGGGTTTGACTACTCCACTGGACCTTCACAGTACGAGTTGAATTTGTTCAATGAGCAAGACTACAAGATTACCACTTTGTGGAACGTTTACGGTGAGATAAAAGGAGAAAAGTCTAACGAAGTAATTATCCTTGGAAATCATAGGGATGCTTGGATTAAGGGCGGCGCAGGTGATCCAAACAGTGGTTCTGCATCATTATTGGAAGTTGCACGTGCTTTGGGAGATTTGAAAAGAGCTGGTCACAAGTTCAAGAGAACTATAATCTTGCAAAGTTATGATGGGGAAGAATACGGGTTGTTAGGTTCCACCGAGCAAGGTGAGTATTTCGCCAAGAAGTATCAACGCGAAGTTGTTGCTTACTTGAATGTCGATGTTTCAGTGAGTGGAAAGAATTTTAACTTGGAGTCATCACCAGTGTTGAACGATTTAATCTTTGAAACTGCCAAAAAATTGGAATACCCAGAAGGAGGCACCTTATACGAGCACTATGTAAAACGCCATAAGGGTGAAAATATTCCTACTTTGGGTAGTGGTTCTGATTACACTGTCTTCTTGGAACACTTGGGTATTCCAGCGCTCGACTTTGGATTTGTTGGTGGAAAAGGGGACCCAATCTACCACTATCACTCAAATTATGACTCTTATCATTGGATGGAAAAGTATGGTGACAAGCATTTCACGTACCACAATTTAGCAGCCAAATACTTGGCTTTGTTAGCATTAGGTTTGAGTGAGAGGGAAGTAATCCATTTTAATCTCCATGACTATGCTAAAGGCTTGTTGGACTACTATCAACAAACTATTCATAATGTGCCAAAGAAATGGCTTGACAAAAAAGTCAAGGGACATGACAAACAGTTTGACCTCGTTGAGTATAACTATATTGATGAGATCACTCAAGGTCATTATTCTTACCCAATTTGCAAACCAATGCAGATGGGATTAACTAATTCATATGCGCATCATTCCCACCACCATGAAAACAAGACATTGGGCGGTTTGATACACCATACCCACCACCAATTGAAGTTCCTTGCTAACTCTACCGAAAAGTTTGACATACAATCCAGTGAGTTGCAAAAGGAACATGATTTGATTGATGACTTGCCCCTTTGGAAGAGAATTAAGTTGCATTTCCAAATTAAGGGCCACAACAAGGGTTTGCAGTACTTTGAGCGCAACTTTTTACACTCAAAGGGATTACATAAGAGACCATGGTTTAAGCACATTGTGTTTGCTAGTGGAAGATATACTGGATATGCTGGTCAAAACTTGCCAGGCTTGAATGAAGCCATTGAAGACGGTGATTTTGATAGGTTTGTTGATTGGTTACAAATTTTGGAAAGCACTGTTTCTAGAGTGGGCAACATTTTGTTACGTTGAACGCAAGATGTGTGAAGAATTTTATATAAATTTATGATTGTAAAGTTTAAGTTTATTTTGATTTCTTGCAGTTGCTAATGTAGGCTTTCTTTAGAGCTATTTGTAGCATTTCCCAAGCACTTTTGAGACATTGAAACTCTGAAGCAATTTTCCCTTCGGGGATTGTGTAAGCTTCATGCCACTGTTTGAGAAGGTAGCTTAATATACGGGCAATGTTTCAAGGGTCAAAGTTCGGAAATTCTGACAAGAGGGGTGAAGCGAAAGAAAGTACAATCCCAAAATACGACGATAATTTAGAAATTAAATTGTAATTTCAAGTTTCTTTGCTTCTATTGTTCCCCAAAAATCATCCCAATCATAAACCTTAAATTGTTGATGTTAAATAATAACTCACAACAATATTACGAAGTTCGTTTTGTGGTCATTTATTTCGTGAACATAAAAAAGAAAAGCTAATTAATTGGGAGGGGTATGATCTGGAAACCTTTACACTACGTATGCAACAAGGACCACCTTGCAATAGCTTACTTCAGCATCCCGCATAAATCCTTGAATAAACCTCATTATGTTGTACTTAATGCCTCCCTGTTCGATATGTTAAAAAATTGATACTATATTACCTAATCTAAAACTATCAGCCAAAACTCTAAATACAAAACACCCTATATATAATTTTGCACAATCCGTTGCAAATTTGAATTGAACTTCTTTTTTCAATGCCTTCAGCTAGTGAACAGTGTTATTTGCTATGGAATCCAACCAGTCACTAGCTTCCTATGTCTAACAAAAGGAAATCGACTGCCAGTAAACTTAAGGGCTCTCCGTTTAAGGAAACGGGCCTATCTCTCAATGAAGGAAATGGAATCACACTTAGCTTTTGTGTGGAGACAACACCCGAACTTGAACAAGTTTGGACTTTTGGCCCGTTTGAGGGAGGATCATTTTTAGATCGTTGCAAGACACCAACAATGAACCTGTCCGCATCGTTTTCCCGAACACTAGCAACCCCATTGTTAAATTCCTGTAGCCCCTTTCAAGCTATACCACCAAAGACATCAAAGCGTTATAATGGTGAGATATGTTGCTTTTGTAAGTATTCTTTACAACTCACATTACCAGGAGAAGTTGTATTACCGCTCAAGTGCGAACATGTATGCCACAAAAATTGCTTTTCGATGCTATTAGATCCAGAAGACGCCACAAGGCTCCCTATTTGCGACTTGTGCAAGGAGCCAACCAATGTAATTGGTGGAAGTATCTACCGAGAAATTACCCACAATGTTTTGGAATCAAGCAAAGATTCAAACACCAGCGAGTCATCGTTAAGTGAAGAGGAAATAGAGATACCCACAGAAGTAGCCACTCCTGTATTGCTGCAAAAACATTCAAAAGCCTTATTTAGCACTCCTACAAAACAAGAGAAAAACACCCAACTCATCACACCACCATCAACGACACATGGAATTGACTATGAACAGTTATTATACAATCCCAACATCACTTGTACGAGTGAGATGCACCCAATAAAACTCAACGAAAGCCTTGAGATCAGCTACGTGTTGAACATCAAACCACCCACCATCTACAACTACCCTAACCCTCTGTTTAGTATCATTGAGCAGCAATTGAAATGGAAAGTTTCAGGTTATATCAGTCAACGTTTACGCCCAAGTGAAGATCTTGGGGAATTGATTATTTTTGACAAGATGAAGATCAGCGTTGATGGAGAGGCTTGGGATGATTCATGCATATACTTGTTTAGCAAGTACTTGTTGTTGTATAGTGATGAACATGATGCTCTAGCAGGTCAAATATCAATAGAGGATAGCTTTGGCTCGGCAAATCTAAGTGAAGGGGTGTTGAACTTGAATTTAGCCGAGAGTACTTTACCTGAGTTGTACATTTACAACGAGTTTAGTCAAACCATTACAGAAAAATGGAGTTATGTTGTGCAAAAGTTGATTGATAAGCAACAAGCAATAACCAATTTGTTCCAATTCACTAGCACCTGCTGGCTAGATCTTGAAATTGAATATGGACTTGAAATTCCAAACAATTTGATACTTTTCAACAACTTGTTGCTCCAAAGAGGCGAGTTGCCCAATTTGTACATGTCAAAAATTTTACCTTATCCACAACAACTAGTGTTGAATCTTGTGGTGGCAGTGCCCTTGTTCAACAAAACAAAGTTGTCCAATGATGATTATCTTTGTTGGTTGCAAAATTTGCTTAGCAAAATCAGGTCTACACTAAGCGCCCTTGATAAGATGGCAATTATATTCCTTGGGGTTGATGGGTTGCATGAACCCAAGAGAAGTGGAACATTCGTGGGGTGTGTTGTAGCCTCGTGGGATGGTTGGAGTGGTCTAATTAACGATATTAGTCTTGTCACAAATACCTTCGGAAGCAATTATCAGGAACTAAAAGTGGCTCTTGAAAAGTGTGCCGATCTATATCCTTTCATTTCCTGTCAAGAAAATTCAATTAATAAGATACTTGTAATAAGCTGTGGTAACTACAAAGACACTCCTCAAGTGTGTTCAAAATTGGATAAGGATGGGATCAAAACATTTTCATTGACAATACTTAGAGTTGGTTCTCATTTGGATTTATTTGATGATGTACAAGTTTTTTCCAAGTTTGAGTACGGAGATGACTCGGTGCTTCGATTTGCAACTCCAAATGAGCTTTCAATGTCAATTGAGCCGTTGATCAGACGGATAAAGAGCGTATGCGTACCTTACTTGCAGATTGAGCTTCAAACAGAGAATAATACTACAATTTCATCCATGGAATTGATTGGCTCAATGGAGCTGATGATCTCGCTGTCTCAAATTATTTGGTTCCGAGGAATAACTCCATCCTATGAGCGAAATTTTCTTGTCACATTCAAATTGAGAGGATGCCAGCAAAATCAAAGTCTTCTTCAGGTTCCTATATTCAAATACACAGCCACATGGCGTGACAACAAAATGAAAAAGACTGTGTATGCCAAACTTGATACGGTTAGGTCCCCACTGACACCTGCATACACTGATACAACAAAGGTGAGTGAAGCCACGAATGCTGGTTCTGTTGAAAGAAATCACCCAAGCAGTATGTACTTTTTGGACATTCCCCTATTGCCCCCCTTGTCACCAAGAAGAGACGCCTCGTTTGCAAAACGACAAGCCGAGTTATTAATAGTTCAGTACTTGCGCCAAGCAATTTCCGGCAAAAGTGCATCCTCCTTAAAGGCTTGTATTTCAGTGGCTTATGGCTTATTGAAAAGCATCTCTCACACTTTCGAAGCTGATAACATTACACAAACAATGGAACCCAACACAGATGCCGGTGATGATAACATCTTGGATCTAATGGCAATCACTAAATCTGGTAAGTTGGAAAACCAAAAGTATGTGGATTTTCTAGTTGGGCAGCTTGAGAATATCGTTCTGTTATTTAATAGTGATCCTTCCACGGCTGTCGACAAGTGTTTCGATTTGATATATAGCTTGGTATAAGTTGTGTAGTAAATCACATTTTCTGTTCATCTTGGTCCCCTTATTTGCCACAGGTCACACCCTTGTTTGATCCAACAAGGCTGAAGTAGAAATGCAAGTCATTACTATTTAATATACTCAGCACTCAATTTGCGCCTTGTCAACTTTTCTTACGCAACATTGATTTTGTGTAAAGAGAGAAGAAAAATGGCTGGTTGATCTCTTCATCAACGTAAACAAACATCAACAAACAGCATCGAAGAGTAATGGTATCGTGATTCAATGCGAGTCATCTGAAATGTATAAATATGGGGTCGATGATCTTGGAAATGCAAAAATTTTACTCATCTATAATTATCAAAAATTTACAACACACTAACACATACTAATATATCAAAAGATGTCTATTCAAATAAGTCCATTTCAAGTAGGTTCTGCTTTATTGAGTTTGTCACTTGCCGGTTTATCGCAAGGTGCCAATTTGGGTGGTTTAGATAGCGGTAATCAGAACAGTGCTGAAACAACTGCCACAACAAAAACAACAAGTCAACAGACTCAACAGACTCAACAGACTCAACAAACTCAGCAATCTCAGAAATCACAACAAACTCAGCAATCACAACAAACTCAGCAATCACAACAAACTCAGCAATCACAACAAACTCAGCAAACTCAGCAATCACAACAGTCTCAACAGTCTCAACCAAGTGCTTATAATGCAGCAACTCCAGTCACCCAGAATGAGTCTACAACAGTCTGGTGGACTCCATCAACCACCGCTCAGACCTCTACTGCAACCACTGGCTCGCAGGGTTCTGTTAAGGATCAATCCACCAACACTGCTAATACATCAGGGTCAAACTCGGCCACTTATAATCAGTGGGGGTTCACTGGAAGCCAGTCCATTTGGAGTGACACTACATTGGCATCATCGAGCTCCAAGAGTACGGACTCCAGCTCTTCATCTGGCTCCCATTCTGGTTCAAGCTCGTCGACGCATAGTGTCAACAGTACCTCAGATGGAATGAGGCTGCAAGTGTTTTACGAGAAGGATCTCGGCTGGAAAAAGTTGGCATTAGTCACTGGTGTTTTGGGAATCAGTTTGGTATTTAATGTTTTATAGGAAAGTTATAGAAAATATTGAATTAAACAGAAAAGAGAGAATAGAAGAACGAACCCATGACAATTGTAGACCTCTAATCGGGATGGGTGCTTTTGTGGAGAATATACCGAGAATTGTGTTAACTCCGAAGTTTGTCGCGACAATTTCTCGCAGAAATTATTCTCATTTAAATAACTCGAGTTTCACAGTTGATCAGTTGACACGCACAAACAAAGCACCACCGCCACAACAACATAGAGTTCACCACCAAACACCACCATACTAAAAGACTATTTACAGGTGTTGTTTATCCAAACATGTTTTATCTTTCGTTTTACGTGCTTTTTGTTCTAACTGGGTCAATTTTAGCTGCGCCGCCAAAAGGAGGCAGTGATGCTTCAAAACAGTACATGGTGACCAACTTACCAGGACTATCAGAGATTGACGATGGATTCAAGCCACTAATGTACGCGGGTCAGCTAGAGCTATTCCCCGAGAACAACACGAATTACTTCTTTTGGAAATTCATCGATGCTAGTAAAAACGTCAACTCAACATCATACAAACGTACAACGTTTTGGCTAAATGGTGGTCCAGGGTGTTCCTCAATGGATGGCGCTTTGTTAGAGTCGGGACCATTCAGAATAGACCAATCGCAAAAGGTTGTCATGAACAATGGGTCATGGCACAAAGCGAGTGATGTAATCTACGTTGATCAGCCGGCAGGGACCGGCTTCAGTTACACTGAGCAAGACAAATATGTCCACGAGTTGTATGATATGGCATTTTACTTTATCAAGTTTATGGAGAAATACTACGAGATTTATCCCGAGGAGTTGGACAATGAAATATACCTTGCAGGTGAGTCGTACGCCGGTCAGTATATCCCATACATTGCTGATGCTATACTCAAGAGAAACGCCAACTTACAAGAGAGCCAAAAGGCGTACAACTTAAAAGGTTTGCTTATTGGTAATGGCTGGGTGTCACCAAATGAGCAGAGTTTGGCGTACATGCCTTTCTTTTTGAACAGAGGTTTGATAAAAAAGAACAATCCCATGTTTATGAAACTTCTTGGACAGCAAGAGCGTTGTCAAAGGATAGTGGATAAGGTTGACGCACATTTTAATGACAAGCAGGTTAATCCAGTTGAGGTTGACTCGTCCGTATGTGAGAGTATATTGACTAATTTGTTGCTAGCAACGAACGATAACCAGGCTTCTCGTGAACAACAGTGTATCAATATGTATGACTACACGTTGAGGGACTCGTATCCATCTTGTGGTATGAATTGGCCGTTTGAGTTAAAGTATGTCAAACCTTTTTTGAACAACGATGACAATAAGCATGACTTGAATTTGAAGAAATTGAAAACTTGGAACGAGTGCAGCGGTAGAGTCAGCAGAAATTTTTACGCCTCCAATTCGTTTCCCTCCGTGCATCTACTTCCAAGCTTGCTCGAGCATGTCCCCATAGTTTTATTCAATGGAGAAAATGATATCATTTGCAACACCGAGGGAGTGATGCTGTACATATCCAAATTGAAATGGAACGGGATTAAAGGGTTTGAGAATACCGATGCTAAAGCTGACTGGTTGCATGACGAAAAGAACGTAGGCTACATGTTACAGGAAAGGAACTTGACCTTTATCAATATTTTTAATTCCAGTCACATGGTACCTTATGATTTGCCTGACGTTTCCAGGGCGTTAATTGATATCATCACCGGAAACTTTGACGAAAAAAAAGTTAACGATAAACCAACAGTGGTGACTTATCCTCTTGGAGTAAAGAGACAGGGCGATGTACAGCATAATGATGCCGAAGAGACACCTTCAAAAGCACCAACATCCACAAGCTCAACAGCCAGTTCCACAACAACCGACTCTATCCCCAAGGCATCGTCCACTACAACACCAAATGATGAACCAACTAGCAATAAAGTGACAAGACTCATTCAATTAGCAGTCGTGATTATTGTGATATGGGGGCTTTACATGTTGTATGCATCGTACAGAAGTAGGCCCGCATCGATTATCAAGAAACCGGCTGCAAGTGGCAGGAAAAAGAATGTCCAGTGGGCAGATCAGCTTCCTGAAGAAGGTGGCCAACAAGAAGGTTTTCTTGCTAAAACATTTGGCAAATTAACTGGAAATAGCAATGGTTATGCCAGAGCAGATACGGAGGACTATGTCGATGACATAGAGTTGGGTGAGAATATCGGGGACTCGCAATTGGACGACTTTATAATTGCTAGTGATGATGAAGGTGAAGATGGTCGCACCGCAAGTGGAAATGACGACAACCGGTCAAAGATAAAAGGTGGCGATGCAATTGTATAGAGACCAAATTTGATGACAACTGTGTTACGATACAGAATTAGCAATATACACAGGTAGCATCTCTCATCCTCCTCCGATGGGTTGTCCCCTTGTTGCAAAATGGGTGATTTCACAAAGTTGTGAACGATTTGGTTTGAAAAAAAAAAGGCGTTAAAAAAAAATCTTCTCGATACAAGGGCCAAGAGACAATCCACTAACCACACATATCTAAATGTTCAAGCAGTCAGTACGGAAGTTAGCTACTGAAGCTACAGCACAGCTGCTGTCCGCATCCACAGCATCATCGTTACACATCGCACAGCCACCTAAATACACGCTTGCTCAATTACGAACATTCCCCAATCTACAACCAACGACATTCATTCCGCTTCCTACAACGTTCTTCAACACGTACATACCAACCAGACGAGACTTACTATGGAGTGCTGCTGTTTTCGAAGCCGATCGCGCACGTGTTGGATCTAATTATGTCACATTGAAATCGGATTCTCCATACTCAAACCGTAAATTGCGTCCCCAAAAGGGGTCAGGTAGAGCTCGTTTGGGTGATGCCAACTCACCTCATATGGATAATGAGATTAAAGCGCATGCAATTAAAGGTCCGCATGATTGGAGCACCGACTTGCCAGCAAAGATTTATGCAAAAGCGGTACAGACTGCATTAACAACACAATATAAACTGGGGAACTTGTTTGTCATTGAAAACGAATGTGACTTTGACCAAGCCAATGTCGAGATAACGCAGAGTTTTGTTTCAAGTCATAAATTGAACCAGTTGAATATATTGTTCATCACTGAACAAAATAGAGATAAGTTGACATCAAGTTTGAACCAATTTTTCTTGAATGAGAAGGAATTGAAGAAAATGAACAGAAGGGAAAGGGCTAAAGCAGTTGCAAAGGTTAAAGGTAAGGTCATCCAAAAGGAGGCTGTTGAAGTGAGGGACATTTTGAAGGCTAATCGTGTCTTTGTCGAGTTGCCAGCTTTGCAATGGCTCATAAGTAAGTATAGTATATGATGAATGACCATGTATATAGAGTAAAACTAGTTACATAAGTTGCTTAAGCTCATCTAGTTATACATTCTCCGCGTAGCTCTATCAACAGACATGTCAGCCATGAAATGATAGTGCTATTTGTTAAATGATTAGGGCTATAACCATGATAATACGCTACCTTGTCTTTAATACTTTGTGTAATGTGAAAAAATTGCATCACTGAGTGCGAGAGAGAGAGAAAGAGAGAGAGCGTGTGTGAGGTGAAGGAAAAAAAAAATCCCAATACTATTCAAAATTTCAGTGTTGAAAACCTTCCTTTTCAGATAGTATTCACAACAACAATATCAAATATGCCATTAGTTGTCCAAGAACAAGGTTCATTCCAACACATTTTACGGTATGTGGGAAAGATTACACACTGAAGGGAGCAGCATTACTTGTCTTTTTTGTTTTGAAGCATTGGGGACCATGGGAAGTGAATGAATAGTTCAATCGGGTAGGAATGAAAAATTTTTCTTTAAGAGAAATATCATCAAGATGGATGACTAGTTCAAGTTTGGAGAAAAGATTATGTGGATTTAAGGACAAAATGGTTATTTTAAGGAGCCCACTCTATATATGAAGACGAGATTCATTCGAACAGTTTACAAACGGGCTAGTTTAACCACAAGACAGACTCCACTTTGCTTCAATGATTGGCACCACTTATCTCCCCAAAACACCAACAAGACTCTCCCTTTCTCCCCCTTTTTCAGTGCCTTTTACTAACTTTTTTCTTTAGTTTGTTGAACACCAACATTGATGGTAGAATCAAGATCATGTACGCCTTGACCAAGATCAGAGGTGTCGGAAGAAGATACTCCAACTTGGTCTGTAAAAAGGCCGATGTCGATTTGCACAAGAGAGCTGGTGAATTGACCCAAGAAGAATTGGAAAGAATTGTCACTATTATGCAAAACCCAACCAACTATAAGATCCCAGCTTGGTTCTTGAACAGACAAAAGGATCAAGTTGACGGTAAAGATTACCATGTCTTGGCTAACAACTTGGAATCTAAATTGAGAGATGATTTGGAAAGATTGAAGAAGATCAGAGCACACAGAGGTATTAGACACTTCTGGGGATTGAAAGTTAGAGGTCAACACACCAAGACTACCTCAAGAGGTCGTTAAGCTGTGCTGTTTCTTCTTTTTTTTCTGGATGGTTTTCAAAAAGAAGTTGAGTGCATATATAATGAAGGATTTTTACATTTTTTATTGTATAGTTCATGTATTTTAATTTTATAAAATAAGGTAAAAGTGGGGGAAAATGTGTAGAATGTGTAGGTGCGCTTGGACGCATGTTATGTAGTCATTGGTGGATGCCTTATTGACATAGGTGTCCAATAATTCACACATATGTGTTAGGGTTGAGATAAAAATGACCTGTAATGACGAGTGTGTCAATTCTGACTAGAAATACTAGACTTTTTGGAACAAAGACAGCTTTGTAATAACTATTAACCAACCCATTATAGTTGTTTACTATTTTGGCAAAGTTTCAAATGTGGCGCTACCTCGTTGAGGATAATGAATTATTATGTACTTATGAGGTAATTGAAGGAGGGGAATATAGTGTTAGCGCCAGTTACAATGGGTTAAATATGCTATTTATCGAATGGTGACACCTCTGTACATGAATATTTTACAAAGAATGCCCTTTTGTTACTTAATTCAAGTATTTGGATAGGAAACTTTATATTTTTTCTCTAAATTGGAACGAATTTTACTCAAATATGTATATGTACTTTTTTAATTGGGATCATACACAAACACCTCATAGATCAATTCAGAGTGATTAAAATGATTGCAGAAATAAAACTTGTCTCCTCCAATATCAGTAATAGCAAGAGTCACGACGTATAAAAAGTGATTTTGATGCTAACCTTTAGTTGCGATTTGCATTATTGAAGAGAATATAAGTGTGAATGTAATAGCACGCATAAACTAAGGGAATGAAACCAAAGATAAGCTTATTAACTGTTCTTCAAATTCTTCTCTTTTCTCACACCTTATCCCAATTCGGCAATAGTATTAACAAATGAGGTTTATCTAAATTGGTACCATAATGTGATGTTAAATGCAATTCATATTGTGTTTTCTTGTAGTTCATGGTAGTCTTAATAAATGATTGCGAGAGTTATGGTTAGGAAACGAACAATAGAAAGCCGCCACCCCCTGTTAAAGTTTAAAGAAGCCACCCCCAGGAATATCATAACATCATCAAGGAAAGATGAAATAAATGAAAGATTGGCGCGTATAAAATATATATCATTGTTCCAAATATAGTTGTGTTATTTAGACTGTATATAGGATCAAATGTATTGTATACAATGTGGGTATGTTTTAAGTTGTGCATGTGTGTGTGTGTGTCATTTGTCATTTGTTGTTTGTCGTGTTTCGTGTGTTTTGTGATGATGATGAGACAGTGTATGTGTATGTGTGTATGCATTTTTAGAAGGGTCAATCATAAAATAAATATTAATTCTGCATATAACACAAATTTAATTTATTTCGTGTTTGTGTAACTTGTGTCTTCTGAAAATTCCCCATTAGGAAATCAACTTCTAGCTTATACAAAACAAAGGTACAAATGACATACATACATACCTATAAGCTACCTTCTATCCGTGGCTAGCTCAAGCTTTTCGTCAACTTCTCTTCAAAAAGTTTAGTTAAGACACAATAGTTGTATCTGCGTATGATTAGTACACAGCCATATATTTCCTTCTGGCGTGTAAGAGCACTGATACACATATTTATAAAAAAGAAGAATAATAGACGCCAAAAGATTAGACAATAAAAGCAATACCTAAACAATAACTAAACAATAACTAAACAATACATAAATAATAAACAAAAGTCAGCAACAAAGTGAGTAACTAACTAAATTGGAGTGAAATAGATAAATAGTTTATTCTCCTATTTGAGTTTAGTAATAACAATAACAATGCATTTACCTACTCCTAATTAATTAATTAAACATTCTTAGGGAGAGATAATTTACTTTTTACATCCTTTGCATATGCTTACACATATAAACATTGGTATATATGGTTGTTGTTTAAATTAATTGCATTTGTTTTGTTTTTGCATCTGTATGAAATGTAAACAACGCGACAAAATTTAAAATCCTTTTAAATTATTCACATACCCAACAATATCTACATATATATATATATATATGTATATATAACTACCTCATCCACTACCAGAAGGGACCAACTAAAACAGACTTCCTTCCAACTTTCAACAATATTTATATTTTTTCTGGTGGAATCTTTATTTCAAAGATTAGATCTACTTAAGCCAGTCACTCATTTCATTCATTCATTCATTCACTTAACGCCTAAATATACCCCAACACATCTTGCCACTTCTTTCCAATCATGATTCACTTACAAACACCAAAGAAGTCCACATTATTCCCACAACAATCGAACCAACCTTATTCAGCCACTAGAGATACTTCATCAATAGATGGCCACTCAGTGTCATTTTCTAACAATAGTGGTGTAACAACTTCAAGCGCCAAGTTCAGTTTACCACCATTATCTTCAATACTATCATCGGCAAAATCAAACCACTACAAGGATCATCCATTGACTAATATTACCAACACGGCCAATTCAAATACAAGTGCCGTATTTGCACAAACACCATGCAAGAAATTACCTTCAATTGACTCATTCACAAGTACTCCTTTAACTACAGCTACTACTCCTTATGTTTATCAACCACCTTCAGTGCCACAACAACATCCACATCTTCAACACCGTTCTTCTTTCCAATACCACTATCCAAATGCTTCAAGATCTGCTTCTAGTTCACTTCCACGTCCATCACCACCACCACCACCACAACCACAACCAACAGTACAACATTTTAACTCGTACATAACTTACCAACCAGTTACATCAACAACAACGACAACAGCCACAAATACTGCAACCCACTCAAATGTCTCATCTTCATCTCCTACTCCTCCACCATCTGCTTCAACATCACTGTTGATGTCATCAAGAAAGAGATCCAGCTCAATTGCTGATGAAGATACCTCGATAATGGACACGAGTATTTTGGAACTCCGCAAATCTAAATCAAAACCAAGAGTCAAATCGATCTCAACATCGCCCACCAGTACATCCCCCGCATTATCTGCATCTACCTCAACAACGGCACCATCATCAGCAAATAGCTCAGACAAGTTATATGCATTTATTTCTCACTCACCTGCCACTTTCCCTTCTCAAGAACCTGATATCGACAACGCACCATTGGCAAGAAGAAAAAGAAGAAGAACATCACCTCACGAGTTAAACATACTTAATAGAGAATTTGAACTTGGTTCAACTCCCAACAAATCAAGACGTATTGAGATTGCTAAAGTGGTGCAAATGACAGAGAAGGCAGTACAGATTTGGTTTCAAAATAAACGTCAAGCATTACGTAAACAAAGTAATGTTGAAAAGGAAATTTGTGAGTTGCCACCAACCGACGTTCCTATTGAACAACAACTTGAACAACAACAGCAACATCAACCGACGACCCCATCCGAGGCAGTAGTCTTCCCAATTGTATCGTCAACACCTACAAAGCCCACCAAATCTAACTTGTCCATTATGATTCAATAACGAAATGATAAACTCCAATTTTTTATTTTTAGAGCTTCTATAAACTGTATAACTAAACACTGCATATTTTTTTGTAAAAATGAGAATAGAAATGAGATAATTTTGATGCTGTTACTGTAGATCTAGCTCTTACAGAGAAGGACCTTTCCTTAGGAGGGAATTTAAATACAAGCTACGTAGAAATAGACCACACTCAACATGAATAGCTACGCCAACTTCTACTTCTTCAAAGGAGGGTTAAAGAAACAGAAGCTTATTATAAACATAAACAGTTAGTAATTTAACATCACCATTGTATGTGGTTGTGTGTGATTGTGATTGTGTATTTGTATGTGTACAAAAACGCGCATATACTATTTGGTTAAAAAGAGTAATTGATTTACTCAATTGGGTGAACTAATTAATTAATTAATCAGGAGCACTTTTACTAACAAAAAATGCTACCATTTCCCTTTCACGCTTCTACAAATTAACGAACCGATGATGCTTAGAGAAAACAAAATTTACGATGTTCTCTCGTTGAACTTTGACCTTTACAAGAATTTCTGCTATCCGAATTGTTTAATTATTAAACTTGCCATTGAATTAATTGTCTTTAATGATAAATTAAGCAAAGTTGCATAGATTGGATGCAAAAAACAAATGGATGAGTTTGGTTACAACAAACACCTGATACTAACATAATTCAAAAAAAAACAGAGATTTAAACCAAAGAATGTAAGTCATGTCTGGGGGGGGAGGAACCGAACACATCCTACATTTTTGCCTTCAATTTTCTCAACCACAAGACAATTCGCTTTTACTTCGTACACGTGCTCATTAGGTCGTGCACTATTGCTAAATTAATACATTATGACATTTCTTTTATTCCAAAATGTCTGTCTGTGTGTGTGTGTGACATAATTTGTGACCAGAGGTCAGCCAGGCCACCCCATTTCTTTCTAAGTTTACCAATATATTGATCTTATCTAGCAACAGTATTTCACAGACAAAACACAGAGTGAGTTGAGTTGAACACCTGTTACGCATAATGATTCCCCCAAACGAAAAGAGTGATTACGAATCACATTCTCGGCGCCTAAACCCATGGGCTTGGAAGAATGCCAGCCTATCCTTGCTCACACTATTGCTATTGGTTCCAATATATCAGTACCTAAACACCAACTCCTCTACCAACGAGTTAGTTGCAACAACGTCGCCATATTCTTCAATAGAGACTATTGAATTGACATCATCGGAAAAGGATGACTTGAAACGACTCGGGCTTACACCAAAAAAACCTATCAAGATTGTCACCGATGAGAAGGGAAACCAAATCGTGCATGGCAGGTTTCTTCATATAACCGATATCCATCCAGACCCATATTTCAAAGAAGGTCTGTCATTTGATGAATTGTGTCATAGATCAAAGGGTAATGCTCACAAATATGGCGATGCTATTTCGGGATGCGATGCACCTATGGCCTTAATGGAGGAGACAATAAAATGGGTTGAAACAAATTTAAAAAACAAGATTGATTTCATTGTCTGGACTGGGGACAATGTACGTCATGATAATGATAGAAATTACCCTAGAACTGAACAAAATATATTTGAAATGAATGAACATGTGAGCAAGCTCATGTTTGAAACCTTTAAAAAGAAAGATACACCAGAATTGGAAGTTGATTTGATTCCAAGTTTAGGTAATAATGATGTTTACCCTCACAATTTATTCAGTATTGGACCCACATTGCAAACACGTGAATTGTTTCAGATATGGCAACGGTTTATCCCACAGCTGCAACTACATACATTTAACCGTGGCGCTTATTTCTTTAAAGAAGTTATTCCGGGACAATTGGCAATTTTGTCCATCAACACCCTTTACTTGTTCCAACTGAATCCGTTGGTGGACAATTGTGACAAGAGAAAGCAGCCAGGATACAAATTATTTGAGTGGTTGGGCTATGTTTTAAAAGAATTAAGGGCTAGAAAGATGAAAGTTTGGTTAACAGGTCATGTGCCACCAAATGAAAAGAATTACGATTTGACCTGCTTGAGAAAGTATATCGTGTGGATTTACGAATTTAGAGATATCATAGTTGGTGGTTTGTATGGACATATGAACTTGGACCATTTCATTCCCTTGGATAGCGTGGCTGCCTACAAATCAATCAAGGACTCACAAAAGAAACAAAAGTCGAAACAATTGGAAATGTTTGAAGTGTTTAATCAGGAGTATAATGATGATTTGGGGACTGATGCCTTGGGAGAAACCACATTCTATCAAGCATTGGATGCCAAATTTGATGATTCGTTTTTCCGGATACAAGGGGGTGTGCCTGCGAATAAAGTTGCATATATGGAAACTGTACGTGAAGAAGTATATGCCAAAATCAAAGGCAAGAAGAAACAAGGTGACCATGGTGAGAGGTACTCAATATCACACGTGGGTAGCTCGGTTGTTCCCACATTTAATCCCGGATTGCGAGTGTGGGAGTACAACATCACCAACCTTGCCAATGAAATGACCAACGTCAAATTTGAGCCCTGGGGTAGATTCTTTTCCGAGGTTGAAGCATTGATTGAAAAACAGGATACATACACTGATGATTTCGAAGAAAGCAGCGTGTGGTCGTTTATCAAACGGGACAAAACTTTCCCACTTCCTAAACCTAAAGGAGCAAAATTGGGACCAGCATACATCCCACAAACTTACACGCCTGAGCGGTATGTACAATATTATGCCGATTTGGCCTCCATCAACAAAGGCAAAAAGGAGTTTGATTACGAAATTGAATACAGTACTGATGACAGTTTGTACAATTTGCCAGTATTGACTGTAGAGGAGTGGTTGAAGTATGCGAGAAAGTTGGGCAAGCCGGCCAAAGCAAACAGCATTAATGCCGAAGGGAAAAATAAGCACAAGAAGAAAAAGCATGGCAAGGCAGAGAAAGGTAAAAATGGGAAAAAGTTGCAAGAAATGTGGGCAGAATACTTGAAAAACACATTCGTTAGCTCGAATTATGAAAATAGTGGATTGGGTTGAACAGGTAGGAGTTAATATTACGAAAGTTACGTAGTAACAATACAGTAACGTATATTGGTACAACTCTCCTAAAAATTAGAGTCACAAATTAGCACGTGACCTATTTGTAGCGCAAAAAAAAATTGTTTCTCTCTCTCTCTCTCTCTCTCTCTGTCTGTCTGAAAAATGAAAATTATCACCAAGACAAAACACCTCATACCCTCTGCTACTTTATCACAGACATACCATTAAATTCCTGTCGTCAAATATAACAAGTCGAAATGGGTGGTATTAGAGACAAGAAAGTGCAATACTTTGCCAAATTAAGAGAATTATTAGAAGAATACAAATCAATCTTCATCGTTGGTGTCGACAATGTTTCTTCTCAACAAATGCATGAAATCAGAAAAGCCTTGAGAAACGATGCTGTTGTTTTGATGGGTAAGAACACTATGGTTAGAAGAGCCATCAGAGGTTTCCTTTCTGAATTGCCAGACTATGAAAAATTGTTGCCATTTGTTAAAGGTAACGTTGGTTTCATTTTCACCAATGCTGACTTGAAATCCATCAGAGACACCATTACCTCTAATGTTGTCGCTGCTCCAGCTAAAGCCGGTGCCGTTGCTCCAGCTGATGTCTGGATTCCAGCCGGTAACACTGGTATGGAACCAGGTAAGACCTCATTCTTCCAAGCTTTGGGTGTCCCAACCAAGATTGCCAGAGGTACCATTGAAATTGTTTCCGATGTCAAGGTTGTTGAAAAAGACGGAAAAGTTGGTCCTTCCGAAGCTACTTTGTTGAACATGTTGAACATTTCTCCATTCACTTATGGTTTAACTGTTGTTCAAGTTTACGACAATGGTCAAATCTTCCCAGCTTCCATCTTGGACATCACCGATGATGAATTGATTAGCCACTTTGTCAGTGCTATCAACACCATCGCTTCCATCTCTTTGGCTGCTGGTTACCCAACCTTGCCATCAGTTGGTCACTCTTTGATCAACAACTACAAGAACGTCTTGGCTTTGTCTATTGCTACTGACTACACTTTCGAAGGTTCAGAAGCTATCAAGGACAGATTGGCTAACCCAGAAGCTTACGCTGCTGCTGCTCCAGCTGCTGCCGCCTCAGCCGGTGGTGACGATGCTCCAGCCGCCGAAGCTGCTGCTGAAGAAGATGATGAGCAATCCGACGATGACATGGGTTTCGGTTTATTCGATTAAACTGATACTTAGTTAGATGTGCATATATTGTATCGATTCTAATAAAGGTTTCAACCTAAAGTTCTTTCTCTGATTTGTATCCCTTTGTTCTTAGTTTTCTTTGTTTTTTTTTTTGCAACACTTTTCATCACTACACAACGGAGTGAATACAGAGATGAGTTCTTACGAGAGCTATGGCTCCAGCGTCGCCTGTTCTGGTACTGCACAGGTATTGGATACAGGGTCTGCATCAACGCTACCCCAACTTGATCTGGGCCAAGAGCCATTGATCATTTTGTTTCTGAAGGTTATTCATATTATTGACTGTTGTCCTTATCATGATACACACGAGCTACTAGCAGCACATCGACAGTTATGTGATAACTTGTCATTGCTAACTGATATTACTTCATCGCACTCCCAAGACAAGGAGAGCTTTACGGCATTTATGTCAAATAATAGGTTAGACTACATCATGAACAAAGTGATATTTGACAGTTTTCTAAATGGAGCAGTAGCATACACCACATATAAAACTTTCCGACCAACACATCAGCTCATTGCTATATTGTTTCTGATTTGTGAATCGTGTCAGGTGACCTTCCAACGTGAACTTTTTCTTGAATCAATGACAAAAATGATAACCTTGAGAGCACAAAGTTTGGTTGCAAACCGGTTTGATAGCAATAGCGTAATCGGTAGCTTAATCGAGGATGTATTAAGTAAAATTGCACCCGACCCAGAGATTGCTGAGATCTTGAAAGAGCAGTTGCAGCATTGTTGTTCTTCGAATGAAGCTATATTTCTTATATCAGATATTGCAGCATTTACAACCAACTTGAACAAGGAAGCAAATATTGATCCAGAAGACTTCAATCAGCTAAAGAAAACATTTGAGGAAATCCTTGTCATATTATTGACAAGGAATTACAACGAGCTAGAGAGGGATACTTACAAACTCATCAGGGATCGCTACAATTCATATTTCCATCACATCAATTTAAACACAGGTGTGTATAGTAATTCATTGCAACAGAATTCCGATTTATACCGATACGAGTTTTCTAATGGCGATCACCAGCAAAACGTTACTGTTGAACAGGAGCCTCAATCAAGACCAGCTAACAGTTGGGTTCCGAGCTTCCTAGAGGATGACTACTACAACGAAAATACAAACACTGTGCACCATGTTGAGATGTTTGAAAGGCCCACGAGAAACCCCTTCAAAAAGCTCTTTCGAAGGAGACCCCCAACAGACAAGAAACAACGATGGCACCTCTTTCACCGGAAGCAACAAGAAGTCTAACAAATAAAAAACTGCTCGCCTTAAATTATCCTATATACAAAACGTAATGCTAAACTATTGTTTCTTAATACTTTTTATCGCCTCTTCTCCTCACCATATCAACTGGAAGTTCCTGCGCCTCCTTAACATCTTCAACCACCGGCGCATTGATCTCTTGAGACAATTTACTTGTCTTTGGCCAAAAGTTGGGCAAAATACCAGCTTTCTTAAACAACCATGCAACTTTGGGTGTGGGTTCAGCGCCCATACCAATCCAATACTTGGCCCTGTGGAAGTCCAAACTTATATCTTTAATTGGCGTGCTATGGTCAAATGACGGCTGTGGTGTAGGAACAGGATTGTATGTGCCTATGACTTCGATTGGTAACTTCTGTTGTGCTTTCTTTGCTTTCATGACAACAACGTTGAAGATTGGTTGATGTTTTCGTCCAAATCTTGCTAGCCTTATTTTCACAAGGTTTCTCTTATGTGCCGTCTTTTCGGCAAGGGACATTAGTGGATTGGACATGGCGGTGAATCTTTCTATTGTAGGTTGGGGGGTCTCTTGAAGGTTTGATACAAAGATTTTTTTCAGTTGAAAAATTGAAGAGAAAAAAAGAAAAAAAAAATGATTGAATGTTTCTACCATCGCGTGCAAAGTATATAAAAAAGGTCAATTTATTAATACTACTTACATCTAAAGCTTCTTATGAGCTTTGAATCTCTGCTTAGTCGGTTTCGAAATCTTTGACTTTCCAAGAACTTTTGCCTTCTTTGTTGCCGGCTTCCTACCAGCCTCTTCGTCATCATCTGACCAACTTTCTTCATCGTCGCCCTTTGATTTTTTAAACTTCAACTTGTTCTTCTGTCCTCTAACTGGTGCTTGTTTGACAGCATCCAAATATGCGTCTATACCGGAGCCTTTATTAGCAAATGGATCGTCGGTTTCTGCACCCTCACTGAATACCAATTTACCATTCTTTGTTTTGAACTCATCGGTTTTCGACTTGAGCTCTGATTTGGTGAGTTTCTTAGGCTTGGTCGAAGAAATGTGTGCCAACGATTGACGATCCAACAAGTTGAGCGGCTCATCGCCTGTTTCCAAAATGAATTGATTGGATTTCTTGTTCTTTTTGCTCCTGTTGGCATCTTCGTCATATATGTCAACCTCTTCTTCATCTGATACATCAGAGTCATAAAGTGCCTCTTCGTATGCAGACACAAATTTCTTGGTACTAGATGATGGGTTGGCTGCTGCTTGCAATTCAGGGCTAATCTCCTGTTTTCTCTTGGCTCTGTTTCTTGTCTTTTTAATATTGGCAACCAATTTTTTGTCTTCTTCTGGTATAGCATTTTCAACTTCTTCAACTCCAAACTTTCTAATCAATCTTTCAATTATGTGCTTAACTTTACTCTTGAAATGCCCTTTATGTTCATGTGACCACTTCATCAATTTACCTAAAAGTCCACTCAAATTGCTTCTCACCATCTCCTCAGGCAATGACAAAACTTCAACCTTGACAAAACCAATGGCTGATTTAGCAATTTCTCTAGAATTATGCGTCAAGAATAACTCAACAGTTGAAGAAATCTCAAAAAGAGTCTCTGTAGACAATTTATCTTTGAACTCGAACACCAAGCACGCTATAGCTGTGATTGTTGCAGAAATCATATGAGCACTTTGTGCTGCTAAACCTGCACTTACCATAGTAAAGAACTCCGTCAATGAGGCTTCAGTAGGTGGAGCATTTGCATCAAATCCAGGAACTCTGGAGTTGTCAATTAGACCTCCTTGGTTCATTTTATGTCCCATCTTGATCAATATTTGGTAAGAAAGACCTCTTGATCTTTCGTTGACATCCTTGGTGGCAATGATGATTTCTTGCAAAGTGGATGGAATAAAGTATAAATCAGCAGAAGGAAGTATTTCTAACACCAATAAAATCGCATTCAATCTTGCTGGCCTTGCTGCTTGACTGGTGACTTCAGTTGTTTCAATTATTTTATTTTCAACTTCCCCAATGTACTTTCCAATCGACAACTTACCTCCCTCGGATTCGCACAATTTCGATATTATCCTATAAGATCTTTTCTGAAGCAACGGCTTTGATTCTAATGACACAGTGGTAACAAATATGGAAAAAAGTGCATTGTGTGACGCCTCAGGTACATATTTAGCCATGGCAACAATCAAATCCATCATAGTAACATTAGTATCTGGTCTTGAATCATCAGATCTTGCATTTCGCGACTCTTCATCCAACGCATTTTTCAACATGGCACACACTTTGTCAAATGTTGTTGCCAACTCTTGAGGTGGTATTACTTGCAAATACGCTTCAATAGTTTCCAAAACGAAACCCCTTGATTCGGGCATGGTGTAAGTAAATACGTTAAATAAAACAGTCAATATGTTTGACGCAATAGAGCTCAAATATTCGATATTCTTGCCGGCCTCCTCTCTAGGAAGTTCTTGTTGCAACAACAAATCTTCGTCTAGTTCCCCATCGCGGTAACCTACGTTGGATTGAACGAGTAGTCTCCAAGCATGACAAACAGGCGTTCTCAATTCGACGTTGGCAAACATCAAATCAGACAACCTTGTAGCAAAACTCTCATCAAATGCTGTTCTAAGATCCCTTGGTAAATCGCAAAAACGAGGCAACAAAGACCAAACTTGATCAATAATTGTTTGGAAAATCTTTACATTCATCGATTCTTTATTACCCGAGGCCCCAATTTTTGATTCAAAGAAATCGATAATTGGCAAAATCTGACTCTTGAAAAACTCCAATTCGGCAAAACGAACATTGTCTCTGAGAATGGGCAATAACCAAGATCTACCGGGACCATGTCCATTGTTGGTCAAGTTCAATGGCAACACACTTAAAACAGCCTCTGGGCCCATGGATGAAACACATGCAGCAACACAGTCTTCAGCCTCCTTATTATGGGGAAAGTTATCGGTCTCATTCGTTCTCCAATTACCAACAATGTCCAAAACGTTTAAAAAGTCGGGGTTCGTCCTTGAATGGAGTTTTTCAATAGTGACTGTGACAAATTTTAAAATTTCACCTGTCGCGTGTTGATACTTTATCGTGAGTAATTCTTTTTCAATAAGTTCGGCAATAAAAGTGATTGTCTCATCAACAGATTCGTAAATTTCTGGAGTGATGCCGTGCTCTTTGTTTGGTTGCAAAAGGAACTTTTCCGGTACAGTGTGGGATATAATAGCTGTTAAACAATGTGCTGCGCTTGAGTAAATGTCCTTTGAGTCAGAAGCCAAAAATTCACTAACAGAAGTCAACACTTGGGGCAACGTTTTTATACAATCAAATGGTGATAAAATACTAAAACATTCCAAAGCTTTTGCCACAACAGTCATCCATGAGGTACTCAAATGAGCATCGTTGATACTAGGCTTGAGATCAAAGATTACGTTTAACACCTTCGTAAATTTCTCAATATCAATCACATTGGTCATGGATTTGAATAGCCCTTCAAACGCCTCAAAGGCAGCAGCAACCAAGAACTGGTCCGAAGTTTTTGAGATTTCCAAAAGTGAGTCGCACAAACTTTCAATGTTCTTTACTGGCCATGAATTAGCTGAAGTTATGATTGTAATAAGTTGTAAGCAATGAATAATTTGTGAATTTAGCTCCTTATTGGCATTGTTCTTTCTTTGTTGCTTATACTCCGATAATAATCTTGTTAGTTGTCTCAATGCCGCATCCGAGGCAGCAACAGCGGCAACATGGACTGGGCTAGGACTGGTGGGCGGATGTGTCAAAATGTTCTTTACTGCCTCGTGTGCCCTTCTTCTCACCTTGGGTCTAGGATCAAATGACAACTCAATCAATGCGACAAACGCCCTATTTGGAGAAATAGCACTCTTTGTTAACCAACGGGCATTATCCTGGGCTAAAAGCAATGTTTCAATGGCCCCAATAGTTGATCTCACAAGCGGGGCATCAGCCTCCACGTTCAAAGGTTGTGACAACTTTAATAAGATCTCGTTAAATTTTTGCTTCAACAATGGTTGTGGTGTAAACGGAAATACAAGGTCAAGAAAATAAGCAGTGGTGGCTGCCAAATCCTTGTCTAATATTTGGTCATTTTGAATACACTGGTCGAGTAATGATAAAAAGGAGACAAAGTATGCCACTGGTGTCTTTTCATTCTTTTGTTCGTCAATATTCTCCTCCACTGCTGATAGAATTATCGCCAAATGCTTTTGGTTGTCAAGTTTGGAATTGATTTGATTTCTGATTTTCGATAGCTTATCCTCTAACAAGAATACATCCTCTGACTGGCCCCCATCGGGATTGTTCTCAACCATACTTGATGTGATTTGGTGTCAAATTGATCTCCGCTGGTTAAGTTTTCTTGACTTTTTTTTATTTGATGCGAAGAGATGAGTTGGGAAAAGCGTGCACGTGATACAACCAAGTCCTCCAAGCAACCTGCTTGCTCTATGAACGGGAAAAGCAGTGCAAGCTCGTCAATCCACCTCTAGAACCTATAGTAATAGGTTCTTGGGTCATGAATGAGAATGGAAAATGGCAATTCGTACAGATTCCCCATAACAGCATTGCACAATGTCGGCAAAGTCGTAGAAACCTTAAGCAAAGTAAGGTATAAGTGCATAGAGCAGAGGAGGTCATTTCTACATTAGTTAGGAGATCCTGATATACGTCCATGTATTTGTAGGCATGTCATCTCTATTGTATATAAGAGTCGGTCACGTGAAAGTCATAATTCGCAACTGCGGCTTTTCGCTATAGATTTGACAAAATGCAAAAACTTCGATTATCAAATACCCTCTCTCTTCTAAAGAGCCCCACAATGCCTAGTGATCAGACTACCGTTTCCTCCACGGAACTGCTATTTTCAGGTCTCAATATCAACCTGCAAGACAGTCGACAGGAGTCCTTACATCTGTCCGTGTCCTCACCGTCGGAGCTGAGCAACGGCAACGGCAACGGCAACGGCAACGGCAACGGCAACGGCAACGGCAACGGCAACGGCAACGTCCAAGATGCTTTTGCCAAAATATGCATGGCTTGCCGTACTGGAGATTATGAAGTCGTTGACTCTTTGTTAAGCACTCCTAATCTTGATGTGAACCAGGTAGATGAATACGATTACTCGCCATTGATTTTGAGCTCATTGTGTGGACATTTGAAGATTGTCGAGCTACTATTGAAGAGAGGCGCTGTGTGTGATAGAGACACATTCCAAGGCGCGAGGTGTATCTATGGAGCACTTACAGACGAAATTAGAGATCTACTAGTTAGTTTTGATATCTCGAAAGCGGTAGATGTCAACCAGCCGTTCGCTGGTCATATCGCGTCACTTTACAGCACTTCGGCCAATAAAGATGTTGTGTTTAAATTTAACCAAAAGGGGTTGAGTTCGGATTTGTGTGCGATAACATTGCATAGGTGTTTGTTGGTTGCACGAAGCAGGTATTTTCGAGAAAAGTTTCAAGGCGACTGGCTGCTATTGAGTGTTGTGAATATGCCAAATGAAGTTGACCCATTGGCGTTTAAGGTAATTGTTGACTATATATATCTTCGAACCGATTCGATGGTGATTCCAGACAAAAAATTTCGTAACCAAGTAGTTTCTTTAGCAGAAGAGTACGAGTTACAGGATTTAGCCAGTGCTATAAAGGAGATATCTGGTGCAAAGGATGAAAAAGAGCAGTTCAAAGTAAAGCATGAACTAGCTATGAAGATAGTTGAAAAGGCTAGAAAAGATCTTGACTCATTCTTGGCAAACGACATTATCCTGCAGAGTGTTTCTTCGAATATGGATCTCGAAAAGGACGTTGATCTTGAAGATATCAATTGTCAGCACTATATTACCCATGAGCAAAAAACAACATTACTTGATCTGTCTTCTATCCCAGATGCCGTTCTATCATACATTGACTCAAGTTCAGAGGCTGTCATTTTTTACCCTGTCAACAAGTCCATTCTCACAAGATCGGAGTATTTCGATACAATGTTCAAATCGGATATTTTTAAATTTGCAGAGGAGGATATTCCAATGTACAAAGACGGCACAATTTCAGTTGCAAACCGACCTCAGGTGGATGAATCACACTTGCCGATTATACAACTTTCTACCAGTACAGCCGATAAGAAAGTGGCAGCAATGGTGCTATCGTACTTGTACCATGACGATGTTAATGAAATTCCCTTGGACAATGTTGTCGAATTGTTGTATGCCGCAGATGAGTTGTTTTTAGAAAGGTTGAAAACAATGTCAGCTGTACGATTGAGCTCGCAGTATTCGAAATTCACCTATCAAGAATTTCAATCGTTGGAACCGGACGTTAAATATGACGCGTATGATTTAATCAGGGCAGCATGGCTGACGCGATGTGACAAATTGGAGCAACACGTTACCAAAATGATTGCTTATAATTTACAAGACATTGTTCAGAATGAGGACGAATCAGCAAAATTGTTGGCTTTAATTGCTGAATCAGCAGCAAGAATTAGAGAAAGACAGGATACTGATACAATTGAATTGGTGGATGATATGCGATACTATTTATCGAAGAAATATGCAATTAGTGAAGACAGTGAAAGTTTGGATCCATTGAGTAGTTTCGGGTACAGAGACAAAAAGACGGAAAATATCAAGCTTTATCAAAACTCGCTATTGAAATACGAAAGGGATGTCGAAGTTATTGAAAATATGTTGGAAAAGTTGAACTTGAATGCGTAGAGGAGATATGCTGGAGCACCAAATCGACAGTAATGGAGCTCTTGTTACACAAGGATACTTATATTTGCAATATAGACTCATTTTCATTTATCAAGTCTGTATATGAATAAATATAAGGCTTCATAGAAGCATAACACATTAGTTTATGCCATGTATTTTGTAACACGTGGACTTCCAATTCCCCAATCTATGCATAATAGCAACTCTTTTGATTTAAGAATATACCAGAACTAACAGTCATATTAAACATGTTGAGTAGAGTGCAGTAAATATTTGAATCATAATCCAACCGAATGACACAAAATCTCGTTTAAAAGTTCAATCCTTCAACAATTGCCTAGCCAAGTCAACGACAGAATCAGTCAAAGTATAATACTTGTCAAATGCCAAAATCTCTTTACTTCTTTTCAAATTGGGTTCAACAAATTTGGATTCAGAAATTGGTTCGACATCAGGCAACTTATCCTTCAATTGAGGGAAATGCAGTTTCAAGATATTGACAGCATTAGCATTGGTGAATTTATACGCTTCAACAAGAATCCTCTGTCCACTGGCTTTGGGAGTTTTCATCACTGATACATGTGCTTTTGCCACGTCTCTTACATCAACGGCACCAGCGGCAAAAGAAGGTACCGTATCATGCTTGGTCAATTTTAGCAAATCACCGACTAAAGAAGTCGACGAAGGCAAATTATCAATGCTAATTTGACTTTCAAAATAGGCTGGTCCGATACAAAATGCTGGAGCAATCGTTACCAAGTCAAATTGGGGTTGTTCATCCTTCATGAACTGCCATGCCATTTGTTCATTAAACTTTTTTGACACAAAGTAGGCCGAACTAACACTCTCCTTCCAAGCATCATAAGGCAACGGGTTCCAATCGTCATCCGAATAAGTAACATTAATGGCAAACGCTTTATCAGGCGCAACATAGGCAGCAGTGGAAGAAGTTAAAATGACACGTTCAACACCGCTGCCATATCGTTTCACTGAATCCAAACTACACTTCAAAATATCATGATTCATTTGAATGATCTCGCGTTCAAAATCAACAATATCATCTCGAGGAACAACAGCAGCAGAAGCAATGAATATCGAAGCATGGGGAAATTTTCTCAATACAAAATCAATCGAATGAGGTTGGTTCAATTGATCAACTATTTTGCACTGCAAATTGGGGTGATTGAACAATTGAATCATTTCTGTGGCTTGTGTGGGTGAAACGTCAATTACAACAACGTTGTGACCATGGTGGAGTAATTGGGCAACGATATGTTGACCTACATAGCCAGTACCACCAGTTATAATCACAGTTTGGGGATCGGGTTTAGGTACCATTGGGATATTTCATAACGGACAGGGAAGAAAGTTGATAGTTAAAACAAAAGGGTTGATGATTCGATTTTTTTCTCCAGTTTATTTAAAATCATTCGATATTAGTTGCAGTAAGGGGAAGCGCATATACCAACTATAGTTAACTTAACCAATTATTCTACAAGTTATACCACATTAGAACTAAAGTTGAATATCATTAACAATTAATAATTTAAATTATACAAAACAAGCGTCCAAATAACTAATATACACAATGGGAAAAGATCATCAATTTTCATACCCACTAACAAAATATTTCAACATCTTTTCCTTAAATCTGCTCGGTTTCTTCTCCTTCTTCTCCTTCTTTTCTTTCTTATTCTTTTTACCCTTACCCTGCTTCTCTTCAACTAAAACGCCTTCAAGGTCAGGATTGTATTGCTCTTGGTCAACGGCGTGCTTGGACTGAGTAGTAGGCAACGTGTCACCACTTGGCTCAGCCGACGAGGAGTAACCATTTGTGGCTTCCTGAGGCCACTGCTGCTGTGGTTGTGGTTGTGACTGTTGTTGCTGTGGCGGTTGAGGCTGTTGCAACTCATTTGAACCCTGCTGTCTGTCAGATGCTATTTCAGCCCGAGGTATTTCATCACTTACATACGCAGTTCTTGTTTGCCCTTGCAAACCTCTACTAGAAGGCGAATCCTGCTGCGAATTGCTTTTTTTAACAAATTGGGACCCAGCAAAGTTCTCACTCACCAAGTTTTCGTGATGATGTGGATCACTTAATTTGTCATTCATGACAAACGCCAGGGCACCAACTTCACTGTGTTGTCTGGTAGCCTCATTGGCAAATGCCGGTTCAGCTTCAACTTGAGGAGTCTTGTAGTGTAAATCTTGATCAATGTTGGAACCAACAGGCTCAGTCAAAGTATCAATAACGACAGGCTCCGAATCCGTGTCTGACTTGACCTCGTCACCTACTCTGTTATCATTGTTATCCCCAGCAACTTCATCATTATCAATAACTTGGTACTTTTCATTCTCGTTATTTGTAGGCGTTGGAATCTTTTCATAACTATTCAATGAAGGCTCCTCCTGAACTGGAGCCTGTTTCCTGGTCTCCTCAACAACGGTAACATCTTCCAAATCACGGGTATCATGCTCATCCTCGTCATGTATTTCATTCAACTCGGGTACAGGCACTCTTGAAAAAGATTGACCCTCATTGGTCTCTCCATGATCATAAACCGAATTTCTTTGCTTTGTGCTCAAGTTTGGCAGGGGGTAGTAACTATCAGCTGGCACTTTATTGTTTGCCGACTTGTCTGCGTACCCACTAGTAGCAGGCTCTGGCTGTACCTGGTCCCTTGACTCAAAATCATTTTCTTGCTGCGAGTGCTTTCTTGGTACTGATATTTTATAGGATTGACCATCATCAAGTTCTTCATCAGCATTATAAATAGAGGGACTCTTGTCGATCGCCTTTATTGAAGGAATAACAACAGGAGCAGCAGCAGCATCTTCCTTTGAGTATATGTTCAAACCTTTAGGCTCAGTTGTATCAGCATCATTAGTTGCAGTGGCCTGCGCACGAGGATCAAGTGTGTTTCCACGCTGTTGTTCAACCACACTATCTCTACCAGAGGCATCGGTGTTGTGCTCCAATTTGTTTGTAATGTCGTCCGCTTCTGCTTCAATATTTGGTCCAAGACGTTCAACACGCACTGGGGAGCTAATGGCAACAGGCGATACAGTTTCCCCTGCTGCTGTTGGTCCGGAACCAGTAATTCCTTCACCATTCACGCCGTATCGACCGCCCTTATTGTGTTCCAACTCATTTTGAAGGTTATCAGTTTCTGCTTCAATATTTGGCCCAAGGCGTTGCACATTCACAGGAGAACTTATTTGTACTGGTGTACGACCTTCATGAGTTTGCGATTCACCTATAGCGTTAGCTCCATAAGTTGCATCACTTTCCTTAGCAGGGAAATCAGTGGGAACAGCTTTATGCTTGCCATATGGTACTGTAGAGGGCGAGCCACGAGCAACATTATCACCATGATTACTTGTCTCAGCATATTGGATAGGACGAGTTGGCGCATCGGAAACAGAGCTAACTCTTGTATCAACATTGGGTTGAGGAGCGACACCCGTGGGTTTATCTGTTACACCATCGTTTGAAATTCCACCAACATTATACTCACTACTCGATCCTGCAATTCCAGTGGCAGCAGCTCCTCCAGTAATAGGAGCACCGGAACCAATACCGGTTGCATGTGTGCCTCGGTCTGATACACTAGTACGTCCTTGATTCTGTTGTTGCTGTTGCTGCGGAAGTTGTTGTTGTTGTTGTGGCGAAGATACACCAACATTAGAGCTAGTGCCAGAATAAACCGATGACTGGCTCTGTCTTCTATTCTTCTTATTGAATATTCCAAATAAAGGCTTCTTTTCACGCTTCTTGGCCTCTTTGGCAGCAATCTTCTCCTGCTCAGCTTGTTCTTTCGCTAATCTCTTTTCTTGCTCGGCTTGTTCTTTAGCCAATCTCTTCTCCTCTTCAGCTTGCTCTTTAGCTCTAATCCTATCCTCCTTTGCCTGTTCCTTAGCAGCTTGTTTTTGCTCTTTGGTCTGCTCTTTAGCCAAACGTTGTTCCTCCTTTTGTTTTTGAGGATCTTCACGCATTGAGTGCATGGGGAATTGTTTATGGTGATTAATATATTCATAATTGACAGGAACGGAACCTTTACTCATTGCAGCTTGTGCTTTCTGATCGCGTTGAATCTTGTTCTTAATCAATGAATTCATGGATGAGGTACGCTCTTGATTATTACTGTTTGGATGTACTGGCGGCTCAAACTGTTGTCCTTGCTGCGGAGAAGATGCCTCCTTTCGTGGGGTTAATGGAATAAAGCCAAATTTGGATTTACGGCCAGAATGTCTTCTTTCAATTTGTGGAGGTGTTTGTTGTGATGGACTTGATGGATGAAAATCTGGGCTGGTAGGAGAAACTGTGGCTGTTTGATTTGGAGAAGTTGCTGGGTCACGATCCCCATATACTTTCTTGTATGCTGCTTGCATTGCGGCAGCATAGAAGTCAGCGTTAGGTTGTTGCAACGAAGATGCAACTGGTGCACCTGCAGCTGATGATGGAGGACCAGGATGAGTCTGCTTGGATCTAGTTTGATATTGCTTTGGTGAAGTTGGCTGAGCATAGTTTCCTCTTTCAACTGGGATGGTTTCTACCTTGTCATCAAACTTTATGGAGCTTCCTGGTGAATGACTGTAGTGGACGTTTTCTCTAGGCGAGGAAATTTGTTGCTGTCTAGGTTGTCGATTAAATGAGGTGTTGTTATTGTAAGTTGGACTGGTGGCAATTGTTGGTTTGGCTGGCTGCTGAGAATGTTGTGGGGTTTGTTGCTCTTGTGTGTTTGAAGTCAAATGTTTATAAGGGTGGTGAGCGTCCAGAGAAGACGAGTGAATGTCTTCTCTAGCAACTTGCGGAGCAGCAGTAGCAGCAGCAGCAGTTGCAATTGCGGGTAAAGCAGGGGGGGCATCAAGTGATGCATCCTGCAGATGTTGTTGCAGATATTGTTGTTGTGCTTCATGTAACGGGTTTTGGCTCTTCAAAATCGATCTCAATGGCCTGTTCTGACTGTTTAAAGATGAAGTACGATCATTTGAATATTGCCTTGGCTTTTCCGGCCTAGCAAACTCAGTAAAAGGTGCACCCAATTGAGCTTCAGGACTTTGTTCTTCTTCTTCTTCTTCTTCTTCAGCAATAATATTTCTACCCTGTGGATGTTGTTGCTCACCTGTGTTTAATTTCAATCTGCCACCACCATCAAGACTATCCACTTGATAATCGTAATCAAAGTTTTGCAAATCTTCGTCAATTTTGGTTAAATTGATTGGTTGATGTGAAGCGGAGGCAGTAATTGAGTTATTTCTATAATTATTCGAACTGAGGGAATTGGCTCTTGAATTAGATCTCGATATATTCTTTGTGGCAGTTTCAATAATATTTGAGCCATCAGGAAATGTCTTTACTGTTTTTGTAGTTACAGATTGTGTTCTTCCTTGTGAGTCAACTACTTTTGTTGTGGTAGTTGTCACTACATAATCCACTTCTTCCTCATCTTCGTTAACATGATGTACCCTGTGTTGATTTTCCTCTTCCACTTCATGGAAAGTATCCCGATGAAGTGGTTGCTGTAATTGTCTTTGATTGGCTTGGCTCCTTCCTGTAAGACTGTTTCTACTTTGCGATGTTAAGCTATTGTATCGTCTGGGTAAGCCCTGATCATTTGTTGATGATGCACCACCACCACCACCAGTCTGATAGGAAGCTTTTGGATGATAAGTGTATTGTCTTAACGAATTGGATCTATTAGTACTGCTTAACGAGTTGGAACGACCATATTGTCTTTGAGTAGGACTAGTTGGTTGTTGTTGTTGCTTAATAGGTGTACTGTGCAATCTCAAAGCAGCCGCAGCAGCCGCAGCACCAGCGGTCGTCATGGATTGTGTTCTCTGCTGCTGCTGATGCTGCTGCTGTTGTTGGTGTAGCTGTAATGGCAATCCAGCATGTTGAGTAGGGTGATGGAATGTGTTGATTTCATGTGTATACTTGCTAAACCCTTGATAGGAGTCAGGTCTTTTCTAAGAAAATTGCAATTGTTAGTAAAAAAGACAAAAAAGAATAAAGAATAAAGAATAAAGGAAAAGGGACAACAGAGATTCCTAGACTCAGTGAAAAGGTCATTGGTAGCAAAGTGATGACCCAAATGAACAGTAACATACCCTTCTATTGAATAAGCCTGCCATTGTTAGTGTATGTGGGTTGTGTGTGTCCGTGGTATAGAATACTCTTTTTGTTTTTTTTTATATTTGTTTTTTTCCAATGGATTGATAGAAAAGGGAAATGTATTATGTAGGAATGGAGGTTGATTGATTGATTGATTGATTGATTGATTGTTAGTTGTTAGTTGTTAGTTGTTAGTTGTTAGTTGTTAGTTGTTAGTTGTTAGTTGTTGGTTGTTGGTTGTTGGTTGTTGGTTGTTGGTTGTTGGTTGTTTTTATAAAGTAAGGAATGAGTTGTAAATTGTTATATATATATATTTATATGTATTTGAAATTCTGTGGATGACTAGAAAGTATTGTTTACATTATAAATAATAAAAAGTATAGTACTAGTAATACTAGTAGTACTATTACTACTACTACTTTTTAGTGTATTAGTATTGTGTATTAGTGTATTATGTTTTGTTAGTTTGCTATCTGAAATTCTACAATGTATGTAATTGTGATTGTATGTGTATATATTTATGTATGTATGTATGTATGTGTTAGTGTTAGTGTTAGTGTTAGTGTGTTAGTGTGTTAGTGTGTATTGTTCTTTTTGACGTTTTGTGTATTCTTTCTTTTTCTCAATTTTGTAATGACTTTTCTTTAGAAGAATAGAACCTTTGATTGGTTAAACAAGTCCATAACAGTAGCAAATAACTCTCACACACTAACACACACACCCAACACACACGCTGGCCAAGCTTAAATAGATATGATAGTACTATTAAGTTGATTACCTATATAAACCAACATTGTGTTACTCTCAAACAAAATTTGTCATGAATTCTCTCCGTTTAGAAACCCTTTTTGGCATATGAAAAAATAAAAATAAAAGATAGAACAAAAAATGACACTGAATACACGTGACTTCCGCAAAGAAAAAACTCATAACGGTGTTGCACAAAATCCTTTTGTAAGACTTAACAAGACAGTACCTGTCTTGTTAAAGCATAGCAATATAACCATTCCACAAGCCAGAGAAGGAGATACAAGTATATTGCTAAACCATTCACTTAGTGCTTAACTTCGTAGCTTCATCTGCTGCAACTACATAAATTGTGTTTATAGTGTGTATAGTGTGTAATTGCGTTTACTTTAGATACGTATGGAACTGTATACAACACTACTTACATGCAATGACTTGTTTTTAACAAAACTGAGTCGTTTGTTTCAGTGTTGTTGTTGATTGACACAGCCAACAAAAGGATCAACAACACTCTATCATCAACAATCTCCATCATTAAACCACACAATGGATACTGCCTCAAATATATAAATCTACTCCTTCAACAATTGTTTAGCCAAGCCAACGACAGAATCAGTCAAAGTATAATACTTGTCAAATGCCAAAATCTCTTTACTCCTTTTCAAATTGGGTTCAACAAATTTGGATTCAGAAATTGGTTCGACATCAGGCAACTTATCCTTCAATTGAGGGAAATGCAGTTTCAAGATATTGACAGCATTAGCATTGGTGAATTTATACGCTTCAACAAGAATCCTCTGTCCACTGGCTTTGGGGGTTTTAATCACTGATACATGTGCTTTTGCCACGTCTCTTACATCAACGGCACCAGCAGCTAATGGAGCAACTTCATCGTCCTTTTTCAACTTGAGTAAATTGGCAATGATGTTGGTTGTTGTTGGTAAATAACCACCATTGTCTAAACTTATTTCATTGGCAAATTGTACTGGTCCAAGGGTCATCCCAGGGTTGATTGAAACCAAATCAAAATTGGTCTTGTGGTCCTTAACAAACTTCCATGCCAATTCTTCACTAGTCTTTTTGGCCACCATGTATGCCATTTGTGCATTGGCAAATCCAGCCTCATAAGGTAATGGACTCCAATCATCATCGCCATATTGTGCATCATAACTAAATACCTTTTCCGGTCCAATATGTGTTCCTGATGATGAAGTCAATATAACTCGTTTAATCTGCTTACCATGATGTTTAATCGATTCCAAGGTATTTTCAACAATAGCGTTGGTCTTTTGTATAATCTCCTTTTCGACTTCCTTGGCAGTGAAATCAGTCACCGCGGCACCAGCAATGAAAGTCGTGGCTTCTTGATGTTGTCTCAATACGAAATCAATAGAATTGGGCTTATCCAACTGATCAACCGCCTCAATTTGTAAATTTGGATGATGAAATTGTTTAATCAATTCCATTCCTCGTGGTTGTGAACGAACAATGGCGATAACTTTATACCCTTGGTGTAATAATTCGGCAATTATATGTTGGCCAATGTATCCGGTCCCACCGGTAATAATAACTGTTTCAGATGGTTCAGAAGATGATGACATTTTGCCTCTTGTTGTTGTAGTGGTTGTTAAATATGTAAAATGTGCAATGGAAAGAGGCACTATTCCCTTTGACTATTTATATCAAACCCTTTTTTTTTCGTTCGGCATTTCTATTTTTTTCTCTTCTTTTTTTGTATTCCCATTGCATAAATATTGGATTTCGCCTAATGGAAACCCGCCTGGAATTTCAAAATTATTGGCGTATGTGTGTGGGGGGATGGGATGCATCTCTTCTTATTTTTGTTCTTTTTTTTTGTTTGTGGAAATTATGTCAATATATTTTGTCGTTTGATCCTCGGAGAATTGCGTGCTAAGAAAAACTGACCCCAACACTAAACGGCTTTGACATGGGGGGTGGTCGTGTTGATGCATTGGAGGGGACAAACTGAACAAATCACATAGCTCAACACTTGTAAGTGTATACAAATTGACGGAGAAATGAAAGGAGGTTTCCCCAAGAATCTTTAGTCGAAAATGTCACGATGATTTCCCCTCTTTATGAAACGTAAAAGATATTCAACACATCTGTTCAAGATTTTGACTAAGGGGGTACAAAACTTGCCTCTTACAGTTGGATATGCTAATTGCAGCCAGTTTTGCAACCTTCCTCAAAAGACCAATGTCGTACACAGATAATTAGTGACATTCACTTTTTTGAGACACTAATTTATGCTGCTACTGACCACAAAGTAATCTTTTAGTAAGGCTTATTAATCTTTGGTTACTCAGTTTAGTAATGATTTGCAAATCAATCATGCCATAGATGCCACTTGATATGCCTATATAAAATGCAATTCAAGCCATCACTTCAAATCCAACTTAGCTTATTTCCCATCGTTTTAACAACCATACAAGGAACAATCTGCTTTGCTCCATGAAGTTTTGGTTAACTTCAATCACCACAGTTTTAACATCGGTATTAATATACTTCTTCTTTTACAACACTAACAACACCACCACCACGACTCAATCACCACGATCACCACCACCACAACCTCCATCAAACAACATGTCCACTATTTCTAAATTTATCAAACATCAAGGCCCAGTCTTACCGTCGTACTTTTTTTCCCATGGTGGGCCTACATTCATGTATGAAAATGATTCATTTGGTAATAAAGGCGCTTGGAATAAAGTCCGCACTATTGGGCAACAAATTAAATCATTATCACCTGGTGAAAAGCCCGATTATATCATTGTTGTCAGTGCCCATTGGCAAAGTGACGCTCCCAACACAATTGAAATTGGCACCACTTGGACAAACAATGGCAATGGCGAGAACCCCTTGGTTTATGATTTTTATGGATTTCCTAAACACATGTATGCTGAGGAATTCCACAGTTGTAATAATGCTGCTGTAGCCAATGCCATCAAGTCGAAATTGGACGAGTCGGGATTCAATGCTGAATTAACTGAACGTGGGATAGACCATGGCGTATGGGTCCCGTTCAAAGTTGCATTCAGCGGATACAATACGTTAACTGAGCCACAACCCGATTATAAAGAGAAACGAGAGTTGGATTTACCTGATATTTCCATTATACAAGTGTCATTAACTTCCAATGATAGTGACTTCAACTCTCACTACAAATTGGGCCAAACACTAGACTTTTTCCGACATCATCAAATCTGGGATGAATCTCGTCAAAAATATCTTAAAGGCTTGGTTGTGTGCTCAGGAATGTCAGTTCACAACTTGCGTGATTTAGGATTTGCCATGCATTATATGGAAAGAAATCCCACAGCTAAAGCATTGCCATATGTAAAACCATTTAACGATTTAGTGAAACTGATTGTTGAAACTAATGATTCGAAAAGTACAATTACTAGATTATCACAATTGAATGATTTGCAAAAGAACCCATTGCTAAGAAAAGCCCATCCTTCATTGGAACATTTCTTACCTTTGGTTGTTGCTTGTGGAATTGCCAATGATTCCAATCAAAATATTAAAGAGATTTACAATGATGAGTTGGGTAGTTTAGGATGGGGAATTTACCAAGTAGGTAACACTATCGAGTCTAAAATGTAAAGAGCAAGTGGTGTTAAACCACCAATTTTGAATTGTTTAAAACGTTTTGAGCTATTTATCACTAATATACATAACACTTCATTCATTTAATCACACTCCTCCTCTCTTTGTCTTTGGTTGTCAGTATACGCGCCCACTTTCACTTCTATCCAGGTGCAAATGCTGTGCTACTTTAAACCACCAGCCATCCACATATTATTCAATAACCCCTTTCTTTTTTCATCTTTTCAACACTTCATTCAAAGCCTCAGCCACTTGTCCTTCATTCAACCCTTCCAAATTCTTTCTGACTTCTTCACCCCTTTCAAACCTAGCTGTTAAACTTGGAGGTATACCGTAACTTTCCCTAATTAATATTGGTAATTTATATTCAGTTTGTTGCTTCAAGGTTGAGTAGTTTGTAGTGAGAAATTTACGCAATGGTATTGACGCTTCACCTGTTTGTGATAGGTGGAATCTTAATTCTTTTAATGCTGTTGGGATGACAAATTTAGACATGCTGAGGTGGTGTGGTTGTTGTTGTATACTTCTCTATATTAGTGAAAACAATTTTTTTCTTCCTTTCTCTCTCTCTTTAGTAACTTGATTTACTCGGAATATGACTGGTAGAGTTTTTTTTCACGAGTCGTGCAAAATTCAAATTGCAAAACTTGAGTAACGTAAACCTTTGTACCCTACATTAATTCTATTTATATAACAGGACACATCTTCTTACCTTTGAGCGACGCTTTAAGTGCCGTCTACTGAGTAAATATGTCTACGAATTGACTCAACTGATACAGCATGTGCAAAGAAAATCACCAACTACTCTAATCATACCACATCTTAATCAATTCTTCACTAACGGCAGATGGCGTCAATACACCCAAGTCTGTAATCAACGCCGTAATATAGTCATGAGGAGTGAAATCAACAATATGTTTGTCTAAAAATATATCTCCATGGCTATTGAAATACTCTTTGTATCGTTCATTTTCATCCGTCAGTTCATTCAACGACGCAATATAGTTCATGTTGGGTAAATCATTAGGAGCCAACGGAAACATCCTGACAAATTTATGCGATTCAGTAACGACATAAAACGGTTTGTTATTAACCTTGGCTAAACATCCGATTTGATAAGTACCAATATGATTTATGATTCCACCACTCTCGGCCACCCCTTCAGCTCCCACAATGATTTTATCCACATTATGCAAGACATACCCCACAGCATTGTCTACAATCACTTCACATGGGATATCTGCCTCCCGCAATTTCTCCGCCATAACATACCCATTCCCCGTTGGTCTCGATTCAGTCACCAAGACTTTAAACCTCGTTAGTTGTTCTTGTTTTGCCTTGAGCAACAATGTGTAGACAACACGGGAAAAACTATGAACAAGAATAATATCATCATCTTTAATAAAAGGTAATCCGTACTCGGCCAGCTTCTCTCTAGAAATCTTGGCTCTTTGCACAAACAACTCTCCATTTTCAATCAAATTCTGCAGAAACGATTCCCAATCACTATATATATTGGTGTTTCTCAAAATGAATCTCAAGAATAAGTCACATCCAGCGGAGAGGGAGATATTATTCGGTATAGATGATTTTAACAAGTCAATGTTTCTCGAAACGAGATTGATCAATTCTGATGATGTTGATGGTTTGTTTAGCCGTAACATTTCGACAAGACTTTCAATTGCCGCTATAGGCATGGTTAATTCTTTGTCATCTTCTAGTATTTTCAAATATGTAGCTTTGATATCGAATGGATCGGCTGAAGTCATAGTTTTAAACGTTGTTGGTTGAAGGCAACAAAGGAGCTTGATACTTTTTTTTTTCTTTTTCTTCCTCTTCGTCTTTTGAATTTCTCTTGTACACAAAGTTGAAAAATTTCCTGTGATGATCTCTACTCTTTTAAACACCAAACATCATGAGCCAGTTATTCGTTGACGATGATGATATGGCTGAAGATAGAAAAGGCTACAGACCATCAACAACTACAATAAAGGAGGAGAACGACGAAGATGAGATTATGGCATACGAGACACGACAGGGATCCGCAGACAACCAAACTGAGCCATCATCCGCTGAAGACGACGATGATCCAATCATAGAATCTATTCCATTGGTCATGAACCAAGTTCCCACACCAGAGTTGCAATCTATACACCTTTTACAATACCCAGGAAGACCCAAATCTCGTCCACTTTCAAACACCCCAGTTTCCGCATCAATAAAACCGGATTCACATTACCTCAATTTGAAACTACCCATTGATCCAACGAAATTCTTCAATCTACGTAAAATTGAAGACTGGGGAGAGTCTATTGACAAGCAATCCATTTCTGGAGTATTGGATCCAGTCGAACAAGGGATTTACGCTGGTAAAGTTGTAAATGATGGTATTGAACGTAAAGTTGTGCTAACCCCTATTGACTCGACGGCTCAGCTACGTACTTCGTTCAAATACATTGACAATTTAGATAAAGAAACATTACAACAACGCAAGTTGGAAGCTCAGCAAGAGAGACATCAAGAAAGAGCAAATGTACAAATCTTGCAAACTGCCGCTAAACATTCGACTCAAAATCAAGATACCCATAGTCATTCTTTGGGAGATTCGTTAAAGTCGGTGAAAAAATTTGACGAAGAGGAATGGAAGTACTTGTCTTGGAAGACCGGTGGTCACGAAGATACCCTGGTGGAGAGTTTGAAACTTCAGTTGAAAGACGGAGCCGATGGCATTCAATTGAAGAACCAAACAACTTACGATGCATTTATAGATCACTTGTATAGTTAGAGAGTATAATAACTGTACACAAACCCTTCCTTCAGTAGTTAAACTCATTGCTAGACTTGACTGCCAATTTTGCCATTCTCAACATCTTCTTTCTCGGATCCTCCTTTTTCATCTTCTTTGACTGGCCATCAATACCATCAAGGTGTTTATCACTATTCTTTCCCGACTTCTTACCCAAATTCTTTGGGGTTTCTCTCAAACCAAAGCTTTTCGCCAAGTGGCCCAAATGCAATAGCTTAACGTTGAAAAAGTTACGCTCCAGCGATAAATGGGTAGCGTATGCTCTAATATGTGATGTGAATGCAAGGCTTGCCTTGGATAATGCAGCTGAATCCTCCAAGAGCCACCTCTCTATTTCCAAATGCCATGTAGTGGCATGAATATCCCAGTTACCGAGCTTATCATGTTTATTCTTACTAGTCGTGTTCTTTTCTGCAAATGCTTCTTGTAAAATTTTTTCGTAATTGACAATGTGCAAGTTTGCTTCACGTGGATGCACCACTTTTAATTTAGCGTCAATATAACCTTCTTCCAAACCAGGCAACAAGAATAATGCAGCTTCACCTTTGTTACCCACTCTTGCCGATCTTCCAATTCGATGCAAATGATCATCAATCGTGAACGGAGCATCGTATTCAATGACATTTGCAATGTTTGGCAAATCTAATCCTCTTGATGCCACATCAGTACAGAAGAGGACCTTGTGGGGGAACCTCGCATCATCTTTTATAAATTGCTGCAAGATAGTAGTTCTTGTTTGTTGGGATAACGATCCGTGGAGTTTGTAAACCATAGTATTGCTGTGAATTATCGGCGCTGTCAACTCAGAATCATCAGCATCGTTTTCATCAGCACTATCCTCAGGTGAAACCAATACAGTTTTGACTTCTCCAGTTTCATTGTCCTTCACTTTCTTGAGCTTTTTCCCATCTCTTGTAAACACGTCATAGTGATAATTGACAGAATCGGAACACGAATAGAAAACCATGCTTCTAGATGGTGCATTATTCTGTTCAATTTTATTGGCAATGTTAACAAGGCACGCATCGAGAGTTACTAATCTCAACTTAGGCGGTACAATCAAAACATCTTGAATCAACTGGTCTGGTGCAAATGATTCATGGTCATGTGAGTTACCCGTGACCTCTCCATCAACGTTGTTGTCATCATCATCATCAAATAAGATGGTTCCCTCTACCTCTCTATCCACAGAAATCATCTCAGGGTCTTGTAATATTATGCTTCCCAATTGTTTTACATTGTTTTGCAATGTAGCAGAACACAACATATTTATCCTTCTTGTAGGCAATCCTTGCCATTCATCAACAGTTTCGGCAATTTTCGAGCACAGATCAATAATTCTCGTAATCTTGGAAATAGTCTCTTCAAACCCCAATTCCACCAATTTATCACCTTCATCAAGAACCAAATACCGCAACTGACTGATATCCAACGACTTTGTGTTCTCCAAGTGATCGGCTAGTCGACCTGGTGTGGCCACCAAGATGTTGACTCCTTTCCTCAATCGAGCTTTTTCACTTTTCTTCTTTTCTCCCCCAATAACAATTCCAGGTACCAAAGTATGATAGCATCGGGTCAAGCTTTCCAAGACTGAGTAAATTTGATTAGCAAGCTCCCTCGTGGGAGTCAAGATAATTGCAAACACCCCCGAATCTCTGGTGATTTTGCGCTTATTTTCCATCATTAATTTATGAAATATGGGTAATATGAAAGCCATTGTTTTACCAGATCCCGTCTGTGCCTTCACAAATAAGTCGCGCTGTGTGGTTAAAAGGTTAGGTATTACTAGCTTTTGAATCTTTGTTGGGTACTTGAAACGCTGATGATCAGTAAGATGCGTTGATAGTTTTTCGTTGATACCAAGTCCGGTGAATGTAGTTGCACCTTTGATAGGGGCATTCGATGGCAAATACGTTACTTCCTTCTCCTCGGGTTTTGCTTCAGTTGTGGCTTGTAATGCAGTTTCATTATTGGTGAATAACGATGACACGTATGAGTTATTCTTTCCACCCGATTGTCCCTTTGTTTCGGAAAATTTTGCCCTCTTGAACTCACTAGGTGCAGATTCTTTAATTTTCAGCTCTGTATCTCCATCCAGTTTTCGTTTTTGTAATCGTGGTTTAGTAATCTCTACGCTGTTGACACCCCTGACTTTTTTCTCCTTGGTTCTTCCTTGTAGCGATAATTGCAACTTCCTACGATCTTTCCATCGACCGCCTTTTATTTTGAGGGATTTGGTGGCTGGTGCAGTACTGTTATTACTTGAGTCTGGTACCGCAAAGTTTAGCAATAAGCCGTCGTCGTCACTCATTGTTGTAATTGGTCTTTTATAGAGGAAAATGTTGCATAAACTTCAGATCTTCACGCATCTCATCGGAAAGATAATTTCTGGAGATTTACTGCAAAGCTACCAACTGGTTTCAACTCAACTATAGAAGTACCAAGATGGTCGAAATTAAAAACCTCTATACACATAGTTCTACTAACTACTATGTTCCTTTCTGTATCCTTCAATTTGCCATAAACCATGATTTTCTCCCAAGACAAACCCAATTGTCTTTTTTTCGTAGTAATCGTGAGCAAGCTGCAAATTATCGATAATATCATCCAACAAGATTGCTTTTCCAACAGCAATTCCATCACCCAAACCAGGATGATGTACATTGACAATATGCAAATGAAAATGATAGTAGCTGGGATGGTAATGTACAAATACTTTCAACTGATCTGGATCAATACCAAATGTTTCATTCGTCACAGTTTTGATCTTGTCCTGAACTTTCCTCAACCACTCCGCATGGGAACCATTCAAGTCTCGTACTGATGATAAGTCTACTCGGTTGACAATACAGCACAAGTACAAGTTCTCCAAATTAACATTATCCCATTTCATATCTGGTAGCAAAACAAAGCCCTCATCACTTTTATCGTGGTAAATGACCGATTCCAGCTCCTTACCGTGGAACAATATGTTGTACACCCATTGGATCCTGTCACCCTTCATGGTTCCTATGTACGGAACCACGTACTTTTGATACATTTCAGGGGTCTCTCTGATATAATGTAGCTTTTGACTGGTATATTTTCTTACGTGAGTCTCAGTAGCAGGGTAAATCAAGTTGATTTTGGCTGCAGGTAGCTGCTCCAAATCTTGGTATAATAAAGCCGTCCCCCAGCTGTAAACATCATTGGAATTGATGGTTGATATGCGCTCTATTAAATGGGAGGTATTATTATGTGAGTTTAGGGTTTCAACATTGAAAGCTGATTTTTCAATAATGACTATGGCATACTCATTCAGAATTCTTCCAAGAAGAGCAATGGTCTTCGCCTGAGTGTCAGATTTAAGTAATCTCTCAAATTGGAACTGTTTGATTAACGCGTTTAAATCACTCATTGGTGGTAAAAACCAGGCTAGTGTGTCAACGTTATTTACAAGAGGAATTTTTCGCGGTGATAAATTGTGCTCTATGTGCCCTACACACTCTCCTATAAACTCTCGTCATCCTCGCCCTCATTCATATCAATGCATATCCAGCTCGGCCATGCAATTTCATCTCTCAAGATTCCTCGTAGCTGCTCCATCAAAAATTTCTCTACTTTACCAACATTCCTCAAAACGTTATTCTCGACTTCTCCAATTTCACTCTCAATCTTAATTTTCTTTACAATGTCAATACGTTCTTTGTTATGAGGGTCATGGAAGAAGTAATCAACAATATTTCCTCCGGGCGTTGAAGCAGCTGATCCAAGGCCGCCGACATCGAAATCATCATTCACATCACACAAGAATGATAGATATACCGAATTCTTGAGATATGCTATTGTTGCTATGGAATGGATCACCACGTCAGTCACATGAAGTTTAATTGGTAGTGAAATGAATTTGGGTGACGGATAATTTACAAGTAAGGTGACCAACAAATCAATGTGCATGTTTCCTTTGTAATTGATCTCGACAATGAATTGTATGTCATTCACTCCGGCATTGGGTTGACTTTTGGATTCCGATTTGCTTGTAAATTTGGGGATAACCCTGGAAGATAAAGTATTAGGGTTTAGTATATGTGTTGGTGTTTCGGTACCGGTTCCAGGAGCGGTAGTATTGGCTGGGCCAAGAATACCGCTCATTCCGTATGGATGCAAGACTGATTGAAAGGAATCTTTAGACCTATTGAGAGCAGGAGGTCGAATAGTTGTTGATTCTGATGACGTCACTGTATGCTTTAGTTTGGGGTTCTGAACATTTCTTGCCTCAGATTCATCAAGCGTTGACACATTTTCAGCAATTGATGACAATTTGTATTCCGAATTGTCATCTTCTTCATCCTCCTCCTCCTCATCGTCATCTTCGGAGTCATCATCGTCGTTGCCTTCACCTTCCCTTTGCTCACTCCTTGCAAAGCCTGATTCTTCTTCTTGCTTCATTCCATCATCGTCCTCACCACTGTAGAATTCGGGGAAAGGATCGCCAATATGTCGTATTGTAATCTCTGGTGCAATATCACCTAGGCTAAATTTTACAACCTGTAAGTTGGAGATATAAGATGGTAAGGTCAAGTTCTGAAGTTGCTCATGAAGAAAGTCTTTAATGGAGTTGTTGATTTCCACGTCGTTTCGTAGTTTATCCCAATTGATGTCGAATGACATTGCCCATGTTGTGTCTGAATACAGATGTGGTGGTTTTTTGCTGCGACGTTGTTTAATGCGCTACCGCAGTTGAGAGCTGAAACAAATACAGTTACACATCTGTACACATAGCAAATCCACAACTGTGGAATGTTTCTTATATAATATCAGCTAGCGCTTGCTCCAAACAAAACAAATCAAAATAGTCGGTATTTTCGATTTTTGGAACCTCAATACATTCAATACCACGTGAGTTCAATAAACCTACATCTACTTCAATTTTCAGATCTGACATGTAAATCAAGTGTGTAACCACTTTATTCCACGAAATCTGTCCCAATTCGACGTTTTGGTTTCTCAAGGAATATTCCGTTGACTCAACAATCACCTTTACGAAATCATAAGCAGTCATACCAAATGTCTCCCTATCAAGACATCCATTCAATAGTAAGATTTTGTTTTTACACTTGCCTGTGGCAATTGCTTTGCCTACCCCTTTCAATACCAAGACAGGAACTATGCTTGTCATCAAAGAGCCAATCGAATATATCAAAGTATCGCTATTGGTTATAGTTGAGGAGACTCGTCCATTGGCGATGGGGCAAATTTCTTCACCATAAGGAGAGACGTAGAATATCCTCTTGATTGGAGATAACAAGGGCTCTATACTTTCCAGTTTACTGAAATGCAACTGTGACTTTTTCAACTCGGGATGTGTATATTGTGGGACGTTTCCAGACTCCTCTTCTTCCGAATCTGAAAATGTCGACACATTTGACTCTATACTTGTTCTTCGCTGATGATACTGTTTGCTGATTTCTACTTCATTGATGGGCACTTCGGCCTCTGTAAAGTAGTTTGTTCTCAGCGCATCATCGGAAGGCGTCGGTGGACGCGTTTTGTGTATAGGAGGAGGGTATTCCTGCGATGTTGATGGGTGCGATATCTGCGATTGCCCAGTTATGATCAACCCATTCTCCAACAACGCACTAATGTGGTATGTGAAGTTCGTGTTTATGCAAGGTAAAACTTGAATGTTGGAGTTGATATCAGTCAATTTACAAAAAAGTTCAATCGACGAGTCCAACGATCCAATGAATAAGCGAACACCGGTCAAAAACATATTCCCCACACTTGCCAACTCGTACCTAAACTGCCTCTTTGTTGATTGATGTATTCTTGACCTTTTCAATAATTCGACATGGAGATGCACAAAAAAGCTTCGGAATATCTCCTTTGTGCTTGAACTTATTGGAGTCCACAACTCATGCGTCCCTTCTACTATCTCATTCCATTGCTGCTTAGCAACTGGTGGATCCAGAGATAGTCTGAACATGAGCAATTCTTTAACATGCTTCTGATGTTCTGGAATCAATCGTGTTAATCTAGATCTGATATCACCTATTGCCGGGCCCCCAATGACTCGAATCAATTCTGACGTGGAGCCTCCATTATCAGATATAGGCAATATGTATGATGTCTTGTTGCTCTTGGACAAGTTTGAAAATAAAGGTGTTAGCTCATTAGTGGCTGTGCCACCTGATATCACTGTGATCTTGGGCATAACACTTGCAAGTCAAAGGTTCATTTTATCGTTGACTTTTGTTGTTTACGTGTTGTAAAACTCCGCGACAACACAAAATAGACGCCGCGCATTGGAACAAAGTTGCATGGATGCAAAATTCGAGCTACCGATGAAGAACTGTTTTGCTCAGAGCTTGGAAAATGCTTACCAGCAAACCAAGCTTTAAGCTGTATGTGACGATACCGTATGCCACCAAGTGAGTAGCTACTCCCAAAATGGAGTTCTTTTGCAACCATTTCTCCAGTAGTTTGCTTTGCAATTGCTACAACTGTGTTCAATTGAAAGCTGTAAACGATTCGCCATCATCCAGATTGTTCATACCCCGTAACCCAATATACTAGGACCTAGCATACGATGACTGTATTTTCGTTGTAGCAATTTCACCGACCTCATCCTTACCTGGTCTGAAATTTACGCAGAGACTATGAAAAATTTTAGGCTATTTCAATGAGTTTTGCCAGTACACTACCAAGAAAATTTTTTTTTTCCAATTGAATGCCATAGTAAAAATTAGTCCAAAAATTTTTCACTTTTTTCCCTTCTCCCTTTTCTTCATCACATCTCCACCAATACATATATATACATAATGTCTGATCAAGAAGTTTTAGTTTTGAGAGGTACCTTAGAAGGTCACAACGGTTGGGTCACTTCATTGGCCACTACCCCAGTCCACCCAGACTTGTTGTTGTCTGGTTCAAGAGACAAGACCTTGATTAAGTGGAAATTGACTGGTGGTGAAGACAACCAATACGGTGTCCCACAAAAGTCATTCACTGGTCACTCACACATTGTTCAAGATGTCACTATCAGTTCCGATGGTGCTTACGCTTTGTCTGCTTCTTGGGACAAAACTTTGAGATTGTGGGATTTGGAATCTGGTAAAACCACCAGATTCGTTGGTCACAAAGGTGATGTCTTGTCAGTCTCAATTGCCAAGAACTCCAGACAAATTGTCTCTGCCTCAAGAGACAAGACCGTTAAGGTTTGGAACACCATTGGTGAATGTATGGCTACTTTGACCGGCCACAACGACTGGGTCTCAGCTGTCAGAATCTCACCATCTGGTAACAACTCATTGGTCATCTCAGCCTCATGGGATAAGACCGTTAAGGTATGTTTTATCTTGTTCAGCCTACATACAAGTTTGATTTCAAGTGATGATTATTCCATATTTGCTACTTCAGACGTTGCGCAAGCTTCGAATGAGACATATTTTTATCACCAAGATCTCTGATTGAAATCACACTGTTTCTTTTCCTCTTTTTTTCGATTTGGAATTTGTTTTACTAACACCATCTATAGTCTTGGGATTTGACCGACTACTCCACCAACGCTGACTTCATTGGTCACACCGGTTACATTTCATGCATCACTTTGTCTCCAGATGGATCATTGTGTGCTTCTGCTGGTAAAGACGGTGTCATCATCTTGTGGGACTTGAACTCAAACAAGACTTTGTACACCTTGGATGCCAAGGCTGAAGTTCACGCTTTGGCTTTCTCTCCAAACAGATACTGGTTGGCTGCTGCTACCACTACTGGTATCAAGATCTTCAAATTGCAAGAAAGATCATTGTTGGATGAATTGAAACCAGAATTCGCTATTGGTGCTAACGCTAAAGACCCAGAAGCTATCTCATTGGCCTGGTCTGCTGATGGTCAAAACTTGTTTGCCGGTTACACTGACAACCTCATCAGAGTCTGGCAAGTTATGACTCCATCTGCTTAAATAGGAGTTGGATGTCGTAAAGTAGAGAGTAAAAGGGAATTTGTATAATGTCGTTTATAATATACACTTGGTTTAAGGGTTGTTTTTTTTTTTTTACTCTATAAGATAAATCTTACCACTAGCGCTCCCTCCTACTGCCCAGTTTTGTGTGGGGTGTAGAGTACAGACGGCAGGTACAGCACCAATTTGATCATTCAAGTGAGCCAAGATATTACCTTTTTGATCATATACGTCCATACCACGATTCATATTGGCTATAATAAACTTTTGCATGCCATCCTGTGGGTTTTCTTGCCACCTTGACTTCAAGATAGAGACCCATCTTCCTGTTTGACAGTTGTGTCTTATCTTATTCATTGGGTGAAGATTATTTGGCAATATAATTTCATTGTCATTGCTGTGTTTGCCAGCTTTAAAGTTGGGCATGAAGTTGGATTCCCAGTCGGTAATTATAGGATCCTCGTTATAATTGAATATACAAATTTGGTCATCATAACCATTACAAACCAAATGATTGTTAATGTTCCAGTCAACGCAGGAAACAGATAAACGTGAAGTGTAGTTCCCATACATGTGAGGGCTTTTTTGGTTCTCAAATTCTGAATATTCCAGTTGTCCAATTTTTCTCAAATCCCAGATTCTCAAGGTTCTGTCTAGTGAAGCGGTTGCGACTTGATAGGAATTATTTGGATTAATAGCGAAGCCACCTATCTTTTTGTCGTGTAATCTAAGGTAGTCCGTATGCTTCTTTGTTTTAGTTCTAATGTCATGTCTGCAAAACAAGCCATCAAGTGTGGTCATGTACAATAAATTTGGATCTTCGCGAACCAAGTTGATATCACTAACCCCCAAGGCCACATCCTGGTCATTCAAGTAAATAACCTCTGAAGTTGTCAATTTGTTGAGATCTAGTGATCTTACACTGCCATCGTATGAAGCCGAATATAATTTCTCCAACTGAGTTGAAGGAGTTAATATTTTTGAAATATTTTTACCATGCGGACGAAAGATGGAGGTAGTTGGTTCCTCTGATGTTGCATCTGGGGCCCAAATTCCCACATTACCATTCGTATCGCCAGCTGCCACAACTCTATCGGTGGTGGATGGGTGGAACATCATTGCAGTGATTCTGTAATGTGCCAATTTAACATCCAATGGATCGAATCTTGGGAAGATTCGCTTAGACTCAAACTCTTTCCTCTTTGAATCAATTGAAATGTCGCTATTTATTCCCTTCTTCTTTATCTCTTCATAAAAATCACCAGCAGAAAACTTTCCACCTAGAGATTGAATTAAGTTCAATGTTTCATTTTCTTGAGAAAGCACATCATCTTCAACCTTTATCCCTGAAGCATCTTGACGTGTATTATTCCTGACCTTATCCTCAAATAGCATGTCACCACTTTTACGATCAGTGATGAGATCAATCAAATGGAAATCCCCAAAGAGTTTAGTCCTCTTCAAGGCTTCATACTCTCTCTTTCGACGCTCTTTCTCCTCTTCCTCCTCTCTGATTCTGGCAGCTTCCTCTGGGTTCTCAAGTTCTGACTGGATTCCAGCTAGACGTCGAGATCTTCTTGAAGGCTCAACCTCTCTCTTGGTCTCTGTTTTTGGCTTGACAACTTTCTTCTTTCTTATGGGTTGTGAAGGTTTTGACTTTTCAATATCACGAGAAATACCATTAGAAAGAGCATCAAGGTCTAATTTCGACAATAGCTCCTTATTTCTCCTTATGTTCTCTTGTCTTTTTTGTTCCAAACTTGAAAGTGCCATTTGATGGAGGTTTGATGTCGAGCTTCTTGGTTAAATATAAGGAAAAGAGAATGGAAGACGCGTTTTGTCAGAGATGTATGCTACCAATTTCATGAAAAGAAATTTGCAACAACGACAAGAAAGAACAAAAGAAATGATAGAATTGTTATGACAGTAAACAGTTTGTTTCTACTTCACAGCATCGGCATACAAATATAGACTTCCACATACAACGACAGGTGAACCGATGTCTCTATTACCCTTCAAGTAGCGAAATACATCGCCGATAAAAGCATTCTCCGATACAATTTTGACTTGGCAATACAATTTTGCCACTTCACTAATTCTCTCAACCGGTTCACAGTTTATCCACGGCATTTGGTCGGGTTGGTGAAATAAGGTTGGTATGACTGTATCATTTTTCCGAACAATATGCTTCAATATACTGCCCAACTTTTTACCCTTAGTCATACCCACAATAAAGGTGATATTCTGGTTGGGAAAACTGGCTCTTATATACTTCCCAAGCTCTATAGCAGCATCTTCGTTATGCGCACCATCGATCAAAACTTCCCCCACGCCAGGAATGTTTAAAGACTCCAATCTTCCTGGCCAGTAGGTGTTTTCAATGCCAGTTACAATTAGGTCTCTTGAAAAAGTATAGAATCGACGAAGTGATGCAAGAATTCGTAGTGCAAGTGCAAGGTTGCTCAACTGATACTCGCCTTTCAAGGGACTGAACTTTATTAATCCTTGATCACTTTCATTCGGCACCACAACAGTAAGCTCACATGGAATGGACTCCGCTTTGGCTATGATCACACGCAAAGCTTCTTCTCTATTCAGCCCGTCGACAAAGCATGGGATGCCCGACTTCAAGATTCCTGCTTTTTCTTGTGCAATTTGCTCGAATGAATTCCCCAATAAGCCCTCGTGATCCATTCCTATCTTTGTAATTCCAGTTGCAACTACACCTCCTCCACCATTAAACGCCTGTAGCACATTTGTAGCATCTAGACGTCCTCCTACTCCAACTTCAATTAGCGCCATCTCAACTTTCTCCAACTCGAATATTTTAAATGCTGTCACAGTCAAAATCTCAAACTCGGTGCATTTTAGTTTCAATTCATGGTCTTTTTGCAAAACTATTTTGTTCACCACGTCAAACTTTGATCTCGGGTAAGTTTTGTTGTCAATTGTTAGGCAGTCATTTATTTCAACCATGTGTGGAGATGTGAACTTGCCGTTACGTAGTCGATGTTGAGTTAATATGGATGACATATAGGCCAAAGTGGACCCTTTCCCATTTGTACCAGCCACATGAATCGACTTGTATTTCAAATGAGGGTTGTTAAAGTGCGATAGTAGTCTCGCAACTCGAGAAAGGCCAAGGTCGATGGGCATTGGGTTTTGGGTTTTGGAAGTAGAAGGGTTTGGCAAGTGATTGATTTTTTTAAAAGGTACGAAAAATTGTCTAAAATCGATCATTTGTGTTTCAACTACGCCGAAAAATGTCCACAGAAGATACACCCGATAACTACATTCAGGAGAGATTAGATGCCTTGTCCGATATAGATTTCAAGATAGTTTCCCTCCTTGAAAACTTTTCTTCCTTTTTTGAAACCTATTCAAATAAAAATAAAGACCAATTTACAAGCGGTACCAAGCAAATTTTCGACACATTAAGCAAAGTGGCGATAGACCTACGAAAGGAAGTAAAACATATGGATGATAACATTGGAGTCTATGACAAGAACAAGGATGGGATTATGATTCTTCCCATAAATGTTGATCAAAAAAATGGTGAACTAGGCAAGCTAAAATTGAATTCGGAATTGAAAGAATTGGCTGCGTTGTTACATGACGGGAAAGATAGTCAAGTTGAGGTCAAAGATGAATCCTTGAACGATAATGGCAAGTCAAAGGAGACTAACGAAGAAAGCAAAGAGAAAGCATCCGAGAGTCGCCCGAAAGATACAGAAGTTCAAGACGTGGAGATGATTAACTAATGACTCCTATATTTCTTCTAAATAACCTTGTTGGATCAATCGTTCAACGTCACTTTTCCTTACATAAAATTGAGAATCTTTTATCAAATTGAAAGAGCCATATTCAGTTGTGACGTCACCACCGTCTTTCAAGCATCTCACGTCGATAAAAATATCCGTTGGCGGTTCCAAATCACTTGTCAAGTCCAAGTATTCACCAAATTTCAGTTTATAATTTGTTATTAGATTTTGATAATTCTTGTAGAAATCTTGCTCAAAGTGGTTCAAATTGTTCAAGTCTAATTGTGTAGTGTAATTGGGAATTGTTTTCGACTGTGGAAGAAGTGCCTTGCTATTTGGAAGGGATGCGGTCCCTGCATTTGTTGTTGCGTCAGTTGATGATGCGGCTGTTTGAGTCACCGACTCTGCTGGATCGATGTTTAACCACGCAAACTCAATGAGCTTGTCACTTCGCAACTTTTCATATGCTAATAAGCATCGCTTATTCCTCCGCATAGATAGATGTGTCACAAACGTTTGGCACTGGTTTATTTTGTAGTCCTCTTCCTGTTGCGTGGAACTGCCTTCTTCTTCATCATCCCTGAGGTTATCACTGATTGTTGACAAATATTCGGCATCTCGGTTCAAATCGTTGATCTCCTTAACAATGTCCTTGACCAAGTCAGCTTGGTAGATGGGAACGCTAGGTAAGTTGGAAAACCTCTTTGCGTCAGCTACTAACTTATTGGCCTGATCTCCGTACATGTTGGCTTCTCTTTGGTGTTTGTTAAAGAGTGATATTCTACACAAATTGGTTTATGTACGCGTCAGTGTCGCTACCAGATGTAATCCAAAGTTTCCAAATTGCAAACTTTAATGTGAAAAGTGTCTAAGCTACCGTTGAAGCTTCATCGTTGTCAAAAGCCTGATACGTGTTAGACGTTTCAATTATATTTTAAATTTAAAACTCCCAAAACTATACTGGGATACTTCGTATAGTTATTTGCAATCATTTCAACACAAACTTTTGGAGAAGATGTTAAAACTTTATAATTGACATGAGAGATAGTAGTGTAAAGAAGTTGCTGAAGCCACTTGCATCTAGACATATAGATTGCAGAGGCTACTGTTATCAAAGAATGCTATTTAGTTATTAATAGATGTGCGCTTTTGTATGTACGTAAATTTTGCAAGTTCACATGCATGCCGCGCCACAGATATCAGAAACCATTTGCTTTATTAATTTAGTCCATCGTTACTCAATACTTCTGTAGAGCTGTAATACTATGCTTGATGATAGTAATTGACCAAGTGTCGTAATGCGGATATCGTATTCATGTTGCAAAGAGTAGCTCCACAATGGAAGTTTGGCCCGCCCGCCTCAAACAACAAGAATATAAAGACTACGCAAAATGAAGCAAAGAGTTCATTTACCTCAAAGGTGTTTGAGCATACAGAAGTGCTTATAATATAATGTAACTAGCTTTGAAGACATCTGGGGGATTAAAGGTCTGGGGCACAGTAGAGTAGATTGCTTATCAGAAATTTCTTGTCGTTGTTGTTCAAAAAAGAAAAGAGAACAATAAAAAACAAAAAAAAATTAAACAGTCAACAAAAAGGCGCCAAAAAGGGGACCACCATTTTAAATCGGACCAAAAACCGGAAAAGGTTGGTTACACTATTCAACAACTCAATTGGTATTACACGCACTGGAAAGATAAGCTCAGCAGAGGTACCCTAATTCATCGAGATCCTTCAACTTCGCCGCACGTTAAGCTTTTCCATTCCCATCTTTTCCACAATACCGAGGATAAAAAAAAAACGTTTCATTACCAAAAAGAGACAGCACTGATAAAGGATGAGTGTCCTTGAAAGAGATGTGTCACTAGGCGGTGACCAAGTATCATCCGAATCAAAGTTACGTTCTTCAAAGACTAAGCTTAACGATACTCAAAACAATCAAAATTCTGCAGATGAATTTCACCCAGCGGCATATTGCTACATATCTGATCAAAAGGTGCATTTCACCCCGATAGAGGACGACTCGGATGAGGAGGATAACAATAGAGTTTCTGAAACTTTTCAAAATACGCCCCTCTTGAAGTATGACGCTGATTACTTGCCGGATAAACTTTACTTGAAGAATAAGAATCTTCTTTACTCATTGAACAACCCCTCCATTTCAGACGTCGAAACAGACACAAACACAAACTCTACTACAGTATCACACTCAAATGGTCATAATTTGTCAACACCTTCAGCAGAAGTAAATACCTCTGCCCAGTCACAGTCACAGTCCCAGCCATCACCAACATCAAGATCGCCGTCACCGAATCCTTCGGGTAATGCATCGGTGAAACGAAGGTCTTTGTACTTTCCTAAATATGTTATTAACCTTTCAGAAAACCTAGAGACCGACTTTGTTCAGTTGAAGCGTTTAATTGTGAGGGCTTTTCCTGAATGGGCAGATACCGGAAAACTTGAAATCAAACAAGTTACTGGAGGTATCACAAACATGCTTCTTTCGTGCACTTACAGCAATGAGAAAACAATTTTAATTCGAGTCTATGGCCATGGAACAAATTTGATAATCGACAGACACCGGGAATTCATTTCCCATTTAATCCTAAACTCGATCGGTTTAGCGCCCACAGTGTTTGCCAGATTCAAGAATGGACTCATGTACGGATACCTTTCGGGAAGATCTTTGAAGCCGGAAGAATTAAGCAATGAGAAAATATATCCTCTTATCGCCCAGCAGTTGGGTAACTGGCACAAGTCATTAAATTACAAGTTGATCGAAGAAGGCGTGGATAAAATAAGAGCATTAAGAATTGGCGCTAGAAGGAACTCAGTGAGTAAGAAAAAACTGGCCAAGAAGAAGCGATTCATCTCCAACATCTGGGAATTGATTGATGAGTGGATTGAAATTGTTCCAGTAAACCCTGAGTTGATAGCCTCGTTTCAACAGCATTTACATGAGGATGTCAACGAGGGCAATTTGAAGGAAGTGGTCAAGAAGGAGTTTCACTGGTTGAAAAATATTCTCGAGGCGGTAAAATCGCCAATTGTCTCGTCTCATTGTGACTTGTTGTCCGGTAATGTCATTATACCTGAGGATTTTGAATCCAACTTTTATACAGGACAATCACTACCGTCTGTTGAACAGAACCCTATTAAATTTATTGACTATGAGTACATGCTTCCAGCACCTAGGGCGTTTGACATAGCGAACCATTTGGCAGAGTGGCAAGGTTTCAATTGCGATCGGAGTGCTATCCCAGAGCCTACAAATTCCAACCCCGTTATTGTTAAATGGTGTGAGAGCTATCTAGACAACCGTCAGTCCAATCCAACCGAAGTTGAATCTTTGATAAATGAAGTATCCATGTTCTATGGGTTGCCTGGCTTCTACTGGGGTATTTGGGCTATGATCCAAAGCGAACTTTCAAACATTGATTTTGATTATGCCGATTATGGAAAGTTGAGGTTAGAAGAGTACTGGGATTGGAAAGCCAAGAATCAAGAAAAGATTGAGCTTTTATCATTAAAGGTATGAACAAAATGGACGTAATTTTATATAATACAACAGAAAGACTATCATCTTCTTAAATCAACTATTGCCGAATGTAATGTTCTTGATGCCACCAAAATGCACCAACTGTGTCCTTTAGCTTCCTCTTTTACCAAACTACTGTATATATTCATGGCAAAACTCTTTGGTAAATTGTTTGCACTGAAGAGCACTTTTCTTATCCATTCGTCTTGTTGATGGATCGATGTTATACTAATCATGTCCACCACCTCATCCCGAACGTCAAATATAAGAACAGGTCCTTGGGCTAGTTTCTGCACCACCTGCGAGCCAATTGTTTTTGCATTGGTTTCAACCTCCCACTTTTCTCTCTTGTTATTTTTTCGACCTCGTGGAGCCTCGTTGTTGACAACTGTAATCTTTTGATTCAAATCAACCGTATCCAATTGCTCGACGGTAAGCGCATCGGTGCCAGATTGACTAGGGCCAGATATAGTTTCATCATCGGCATCATCTTCAACACTGCCTATTTCTCCAGTCAAGTACTCGACTAGCTCCTCATAACTATCTAAGTCGACATCTTTTCCCGTAATCACATTCTTTACCTTGAGAGGTTTGAAATTTGAAGATTTCTTTGATCTTTTGGAAACCTGTTGGCTCTGTCGTATCAAAACAACCCAAGAAGCGCCAATGATTGAAGCTTCATTTAGTAGCTCATCTTGTGATCTAGCAGACGCAAGATCGGCACTAATAGTTTTCAGCCACAATTTGCCCAAAATTTCATACCCACATAAATCGACAAACTCTTGTTGTGTGGAACTCACTAGGACATCGCATCGGTTTCCCTTCCACTTGGTAAATTCATTCTTTACAAATTTCCGTGACATGATACTTTTCATCAAAGCAAACAAAAACGAAGTAGTCAAGGTAAACCCAACACCATGCAGCTTATTAGGCTTGAATGTTTTAGAACCAGTGACAGAAACGTCAGTAAACGATCTAATCAAAGTGTCGAATCGTCCTCCAGTAATGATTCTGCTGTACCTTTTTGATTTATCTCCTTTAAACACCGCTTGAAACATAATACCATGACGAAAATACCGGTTATCGTAGTTGTACAATGGATTAAACAATATCTCTGATTTTCTCTCAAACTGATTGAGAATACCTTGCACTTTGGATAGATAGGCAAAAGATTTTTCTACTTTAATCAACTGAGGCGAGTCAATCATTAGCTTTTGTAGTTTTTGTCTAGCTTCGGGTAGTGAACAAGTAAAGTTGAAATTCAGTAGGAGGTCCTCAATGACGGTACGAGGGATTTGAAACTCCTCTCGTAAATATTTCTTCACGTCATCAACAGACTTGTCAATTCCAAGCTGGGATAGTACTGCAAAAACCCCCCACTTGACTTGGTCATCGACTTTCGTGTTTCCAAGCACAAATGATACAACGGCATCAAGAATATCGTAATGATTAATAAAAATGATTTTCCGAGCTGGAATCTGGGCAAAAATGTGCATGATTTCATCAACAACTTTTAAACATTCAGCGTCGTTTGCAATCACCTCTCGGTCAGACTGACTCGTGATGCTAAAGTTCATTGCACTATATTTTTCAGGCATGCCCACTCCTCGTAAGCTGGGTCGATAGACGTAATCGTGTCGGTAAAACTTTGGTACATTGACTTCGTTCTTGCTAACAAATCGTGCAACTGGAACAACCAAATCATACGGCAAAGTGATAACTGACCCACCTCTGTCAAGGAATTCGTATACTTGATCTTTTGGCTGGCTAGGTATGCGTGGTAAGATCAAGTTTATGTTCATGTTTTCAACAGCACCATGCTTGCGGAAAAGATTTGTCAATTCGTCGATGATTTTGCTAAACAATAGATAATCACTAGTTGAACTGGTTGTTAGTTCTCGATTACTATCAAATAGCAAGTCCTTTGCCAAAGAATATGGTTGATTAAACAAAGCTTCTCTTACTTGTTGTTGCCACGGAGAGGCTGGATCTGCCAAGGACTTTAAGGCTTCTTTTATAACTTGGTCTTGATGCTCCACTGGCAAGCGACCACTTTGCAAAAGCTCCGCCGCTCCTGGCCTTGCCTTTGGATCCGGATCGAGTAGTTGATGAACAATTTGCTTTTCCTGAGTGCTCTTCCAATTTTCCGGGTACTCGCGTTGTCTCAACTTGTTTAGAATTATAGCTCGTTCCATGCCTGTCGCCAACAGGTAGCACATTTCAAAAAAGATAACACCTAATGAAAACAAATCAACTTTTTCATCGTAGTTTCCAGATGAGACCTCTGGCGCCGTGTAGAAAATAGTTCCAACCACAGTTGATAGGTCGCCATTCTTAGATGCCACGGCATCAACCTTTTCAGCAATTTGCTCAGTCGTGGGTAGTGTCGACATGAATTGTGAATTTTTGGCCAAACCAAAATCTCCAACCTTGATGTTATTCGATTTATCAATAAAAACATTCATTGGTTTCAAGTCTCTATGGATAAATCCTTCGCTATGAATATAAGAAACCGCTTCCAATAATTGTCGAAATAGTCTCCAGTATTCGTTTGGATTATTAGGAAGCCCTTGTTCAATAAGATTCAATAATGTGTTATTTTCACAGAATTCCATCTGAATATAAAGGATAGATCGCGGGTACACCACTTGAACCTTTTTGTCTTGAGCTGAGTGCAGTTTTTTGTCGGGTCCATCTCTTGTTTGCACGCGAGAGACATCAGTGCTTTCCCGGGTGGATGAATCTTCATCAGTTGAGTGGGCAAATTCAAAAACATCTTCAGATGTATTGCTTTGTTGCGCCAAAGACTCATCATCAAACTCAATTCGAGGATCGAATGAGCTGGACATGTAATCAATTTGGAAAGAATTGGTGCGTGTTGCTAAAAATGACGAAGATCGATTAACATAGCTTAGATCAGACATATCTTCCGATGTTTCGTCACCCGACTCAGAGCTTTCCTCTGAAATGGACACGATTTTACCCTCCTCCAGGTTATCCAGATTTTCCGCTAACTCCTCAACCCAAGTACCGTAGTATCTCACAATATATTGGTGGTTCAACCTGGCCAAGGACAACACCTCACTCAAAAGTGAATCAAGTTTGTTAGCTCGATGCTTAATTTTCTTTATAGCGTAATAGGTACCTTCCATTCTATTCCTAGCTTTCACGACGTCACCAAAGCCACCCTTACCCAACCTACCAATCTCTTCAAAATCTCTTTCATATCTGCTGTTTCCTCGTGGTTCCAGACCAAGTGAGTATCCAGCGCTATTGTAAAACTGACTACCAGGTGAATCATTTAAAAGCCTCCCCTGGCGGACAGAGTCATCTCTTGTTAATGCCCGGCTGCCTCTATTGTTATTATTGTTATTGCCAGTGGCCATAATTACAGCACTATCTTGCTTCCTCAAAACAGGGCCATCTCGCAAAAACTTGATAGCATTCAATTCCAAGAGTGTCGGTCTTTTCGAGTATTTGGGCTGTAGCAACTTCACCAACAAATCATGAATTTGTTCAACGTGTTCGGCACGTTCTGATTTGAGTTTGTCAAGAAACCTTTTGTTAAATTCATCCGGATTTGGGAAGTCCTTAGTCAATGCATCCTTCCCCACCACAAGTCGTAGAACAAGTACACCCAAATCCCAAACATCTGATTTCTGGTTGTAAACGCCTGTTTGCCTAACCTCTGGAGGAGTCCAAGAATCTGGGTTCTTATTGCTGTCCTTACGAAACTTGTCGCTGCCAGTATTCGGGTGCGCCTCCAACATTCGTAGAATCTTATACCCATATGAAGGGTGTGCCAACTTCAACACTTTGCCATGCTCATCACCGTATGAATTGACATTGGACGAGTCTGTAAATGAATTGCCTTGACCTGTGCGGTCCTGCTCGAATAGAAAGACTGTAAAAGGGTTGATCTGCTTATGGATCAGTCCCGAGTTGTGCAACTGTTCCAAAACCGGTATCAAGTTCATAAGCCATATCCTAGCCACCGGTAGACTAAAATGTCCTTTCGATGGCATAATTTCAAACAATGATTCGGAAACGAATGAAAACTCCGTTAACAATCGAACTTTCCAACCCTTATTTTTGTCTATTTGAAATCCAATCAATTTGAGCATGTGTGGATTATTCAGATTGACCCAAGACTGCAACTCTTTTTCCAAGTCTTGAACATCGCTCTTGCCGGAATCACGTTGCCAATGTTGGTTATTGAAATCAATTTCGGTCAAAATGTAATTGAGTTCGTGGCCATGTTTATCAGCTTCTGCCCTGACCTCGTCACTGACAAAAGGCTTGACAATGAATTGCTTACCAATTGAACTGAATAGACTTCTCTTGGTGTACCTAATAAACCCCTGCACAGCTCTAAACTTGAATTTTCGTCGACTATGTGGTAGTACATCTTCCACTTCATTATCAAATATGAAATAATTAGCCTTATCATCAGGCAAAGGCGCAACTTCAACTTCAACTCCTTCTTCTTCCCCCTCTTCCTCGTCCAACTCGAACTTAATTTTTTGAATTTGTTCATTTAGCTCCTCGCTTCTCTTTTGAGTTGCAGACTCTAGCTCCATCTGCTGCTTTGCTTCAAGTTCCTCCAATGCTTTACGCTCATTCCGAAGTCTTTCCTCTCTTTCTTCCTCTAATGATAACACCTTAGCCATTGTTGCTTGAATGTCATCTAATATAAACTTCAGTTCCGATATTATAGCGAAGGAAACTTCCTCATGCTCGTACTCCTTCACTAGCTCTTCGGACTTTTCTTTCAAACGAGCAACATGCGCTTTTAACAAATTTTGAGGGTTGAGAAATTTGACCTTTGGCGACGACAATGGATACGTCGGCGTGAACTCTATATCCAATGTAATGGAAACTGTGGGGTTTTCTTCATTTTCAGATGAGGATAGAAATACCTGAAAATGCGGGTTGGGTGTCTTATTCCAAATCAATTCCTTTGGAGTGACGTCTTTAAAGATATCGCCGTATATCGAGGCAATGCTATTTAATTCATCCTGTTGTCTAGTTTCCAATTCCAGTGATATAGATACTTCTTTCATGGAGTTGTGTTTTTTAATGGAGTTGCAATGAGGAAGACTCTCTGTGTGATTCTTCTCAAATTTTCGCGACTCGTTTTGTTCGCTCTCTTTTTCTATCACTATACATCGCTTATCAGATATGCCTTTGGTTGAGCATATTGAAAATAGTCCTGATACGATAAGAATACTTTTGACTACGGATAACCATGTCGGGTGTTTTGAGAATGACCCCATTAGGGGCAATGATGGGTGGAGGACCTTTGACGAGATTACACAGATAGCTAAGGAACAGGACGTGGATATGTTGGTACAAGGAGGTGACCTATTCCATATCAACAAACCAACAAAGAAATCAATGTACCACGTGATGAAGTCATTGCGAACCAATTGTATGGGAAGTAAGCCGTGTCAGTTAGAATTGTTGAGTGACCCGTCAACAACAATGTTCAATGGGGTTGATGAAGTGAACTACGAGGATCCCAATTTGAACATATCTATACCAGTGTTTGCCATTAGTGGTAACCATGATGATGCCACTGGCGAGGGTTTACTCCTGGCACTTGATGTGTTGGCCGTTTCCGGACTTGTTAACTATTTCGGCAAAGTTAAGGATTCCGAATCGATAACTGTACGGCCAATATTATTTGAAAAGGGGAATACAAAGCTAGCGCTCTATGGTATGTCTAACGTAAGAGACGAAAGGCTACATCGTCTTTTTAGAGACGGAGGAGTCAAATTTGAAAGACCTGGAATAGATTCTGACAAGTGGTTTAATTTCTTTGCTATTCACCAGAACCACGCGATGCACACTTTTAGTTCATGTATACCAGAAAACTTTTTACCTCATTTTCTTGACTTTGTACTTTGGGGACACGAGCACGAATGTATTCCATATCCTGTACACAATCCAGAAACTTCATTTGATGTTCTACAAGCGGGGTCATCTATCGCGACATCTTTATCGGAAGGAGAGGTTCCCGACAAAAAGGTATTTATCATCAACATAAAAGGTAATGACTATTCATTGGAAACGGTTGAATTGAAGACAGTGAGACCTTTTGTGTTTAGGGAGATAGTGCTACAGAAGACTGATCTAGTCCCCGGTGTGGCTTCAAAAGCAGATGTCATTGCATTTCTCACGAATGAAGTTGAAAAGGCGATTGAAATTGCAAATAATTCGCATGCACAGAGTCACCCGGAATTGTTTCAATCCAACAGTGAAGAACAGGGCGATGCTAAACTGAGTGCTCCATTACCATTGATTCGGCTTAGAGTTGAATACAGTGGTGGTTACGAAATTGAAAATGTTCGCAGATTTTCAAATCAGTTTGTGGGAAGAATTGCCAACGTGAATGATGTTGTTCAATTTTACAAAAGGAAATCACAACAACAACCGGAGATATTGAGAAAAAAGACTAAATTTAATGACGATATGGTTGATGAAAGTTTGGGTGAAAAAAGCACCACTGAATTGGCACTTCAGGATATTGTCAGTGATTTTTTAAAACAGACTCAATTGACGCTAATGCCTGAAGCAGGATTGAACGAAGCAGTTAAGAAATTTGTTGATAATGATGACAAATATAGTCTAAGTCAGTATATCAATTCAGAGATCAAAAAGGAGACCAAAATGTTGCTCAGTGTTGACATCGACGATCAAGAGTTTCATGGAATTGAGGATGAAAATCATACAAGAAATGCATTCAAGCAAATACTTTTACAATTAAAAGAAGGGACTTATGCCCAGTTGAACTTGGAAGCTGAGAATGCGGCAAAAGTCTCCAAACCAAAAGTGAAAGGTGGCAGAAAGGCAGCTTCCAAAACAATTTCATTGGTTTTGGATTCCAGTGACTCTGAGAATGATGTACATCCCTCACCTGCTTCAAGATTTTCACATACTAGGTCTGTGCCGCATCCAGGCACTTATGCTGAAGATGAAAATGAGATGCTCACCAGCGAGGAAGAATACGAGCCTGAGTCTGTGAAAACACGAGGCCATAGGGGAGGCAGAATTGGAAGAGGAAAAAGATGAGAATAGTTTTTGATTTGGTATATACAAATTGGAGTTCTCCCTATACGGATGTAGCTTCTTTAATCAAGTCATCAACATTAAATTCTGCACTGCCGTCGTTGAACTCCTTCAACAATTTGGTCATTTGGGGAAACTTTCCACTGTAGAACCTTTGCAAATTAACAACAAGTAGTTGTGCTTCATCCATGGTCAACCCTCCTTCTTTCTCGCTTACACCGTGCATCAATACTAGATCCTTATCTTGGCTAAATTCTTGATGAAAAGTGAGCGTGGTGTGTGGTCTGGCAAATTCCTTATTGAGCTTGTACTCAGCCAAGGTAGTAAACATACAATGAATCGTATTTGGACCAGCAAATGCCCATTGGATAAATTCGAGCTCGTACCCATCATTGTGTGGCTTGGGTAACGGCAAAATGAAGTTTGGATACCTATAAGCGTTGGCATAAATGTCGGCAAATTGTCTATTATCCAAAGTTGCATGCAAGGTTCTTTCCTTATTTAGAAATCTAGCTTTCCAGATCATTTTGATATCGTTGGTTGGCAAGTCTCTTGCTTTTTCGACATCTATGAAATCGTTAAGGACTTTGAATGGGAGTTTTTCCTTCTTTTCATCTATTTTACGAACATTGATAACACTGCCATCCTTGCGTTTCTCATTCTGTGCCTTTTCCCAGTCCAAAATATGTTTGAGTGGATCTTCTGCCCCGAGTTCAATTCTGGTCTTTGCTATCTTGTCTTTAAATTTGTCTTTAAGTTCGTCCAAATCATTAGCGCCCAACTCTTTGGCTTTCTCTTCCAATTGCTTCTTGTACTTGTTTAAAACCTCTGCATTGATGGTTTTCTCTTGGGCAAATTGTTGTGATATTGACTTTGCCGATTCTTGAGCTGATTTTTTCAACTCTTCAGCTTTTTCATTTGCTGCATCTTTAACCTTGTTGTATTCATCTTTGATACCCTTGACTGCTTTCTGGGCATCGTCTTTGAACGAAGAATTGAATCTAATGCTAACTATGCGAGGAACATGCGATGCAGTTCTGAAAGTGGAAGTAGCTCTTTGAAGCATGGTTGAATTGTCTTGTGGCTATTCAATTGCTGTAGCGGTTCTCGTCTGTTATATATATACACAGAGACAAATCAGGAGGGATGGTATTCAAATTCTGGAGTATTCTATTTGGGCGCAATTTTTTTTTTTTTTTATTTTCTTTGTTCTTTTTTTTTGCAATCGGACTACCCCCAAGGGAGAAGACTGTGGAAAGGGCAGTTGTATTCTGAGGTTAGAATTGCTACAAGTACATATTGAAATAAATAATAGTAATTAATTGCTACTTGACTCGTCAACTATCCTTTTAGATTTTCTTATTTTTAATCACCTCATCATCGGGAGATTCAAGATCCAATACTTTTTCTTGTTTAGGAGTGTCTTCCTCAGCAGTTTGTCCAGAGGAGCTAGCCAAGTTTGATGGAATCTTTTCAAATTCCAAAACACGGCTGTCAATTTTTGATCCTTGACTTTCAATATAGTCCTTTAAGTCAAATTTTTCGTCTCTGATAAATCCCAAATGATCAGCAATCAAATGTCTGCTCTTGCATTCAGGACATTGTATCAAGACAGTACCGTGTTCATAAGCTTGTTTTGACATGTTGTGTGATGATCTGTTATCACATACATTACATGTAAATTCAATTAACAATTCTCCTTTGCCATTTGCATCTGGTTGAGTTGCAGAACTGTAGTTGACTGCAAAAACTCTTGTGGGGACTGATGACTTGACGCTTTGTAGTCTAATTCTTGATACGGAGACAATTGAACGGATAGCTGGAACTTGTCTTTTTGGAATTCTTCTTGCAAAGGTGCGAATTGATCTGGAAAGCATTGTAGTTGGTGTATGAAGTGTTGTTTTGCAAAAGAAAGGGTGTAAGAGCAATAGTTGAAAATTATGTAACGGCGTCTAGGAATGACTGTTTTTTTCCTTTGTTCTTTGTTCTTTGTATGGGCGCTTCTCATTCTCCCCCAACCTCATCCTCATCACAATCCTATAGCAAATAAAATTTATCACTGCTGATTGCATTACACGTTATTCAATGTCCCATAGAGTCAACTTATACCTCATATAAACATCATACAACTCATTTTTCATGTCTACCGGTATAGTCCCAACCTCCATACGACGATTAATCAACCTTTACAACACTCTTTCTCATAATCACAATTCACCCTATGCCGAGCAAATAGAGTCCTTTCTTCAAAATACGTCTGACCTGAACCTACGAAACAAGCGATGGTCGATAGTTACTAAGAATGCTCGAAAAGGTCGTGAATGGAAGGTCGATAGGAACAGAGAGCGGTGTTTATTTCAAGATCCGATAGACTTTGGTCCCAACGAGCTTAAGAAAACAAAGTACTTATTTAAAGATCAATCGCCGTTTACAATGAAGGAAGGGCTACTCCCCAAATCGCTTAATGCTAGAAAGAATTCAAGTGTCTATAGTGTAGATATTGAGTCTACCCTCAACTCCTTTTTCAACCCACTTACAACAGCCCCAGTGCATAAACTGGATCAACAAACGTTCAAGTATTACCTACAGCTGTTGACAAGGGTTCCTATTATGATTTTCTTTAAGCAGAAATGTGACTTATTGTTGTCTTCTTCACTAGATAAGTGGAATCAACCATATTTTGACATGAGGAGGAGGACACAATTGGAGAATGCGAGGTTTGAGGAGAAAAAAGTGATTTTCAACTTGACCAAAGTAACTCGCCCTGATATACTCTCGTTAGCACTCAAGAGTGAGAATTATATGAAAACAACAGGTCAAAATTTCAACAAGTTGGTGAAAAATCTACCGTGGGATGAGGTCAAACTAGTTGATGACAAATTAGTAAAGTTATTGGAAAAGGAGCAGCAGATTAAGGCATTGGCAAGATCAAATCAACAGGAGGTTTCCCATGATGATGAAAAGTTACTTTTTGCAATAGATGAGGCGACGCAAATGACCAAGAAAAATGCAGATGTATCAACCATTTTAGAGACGTTGCCATATAAGTTACACTATTACAGATTTTACATGCTCGAGATTCTAAATATCGACGCCGATTTTTCCTCATTTGAGTCGTTGTGGTCTGATACCGATTTTGAAATTGTTGGCGCTAGGTTGGCTCTCAATGATTCCAGGATTGGATCCTTATTGCAGCACCTTGTTACTGCTGAGGACCTTCAACACGCTTCAAGCTACGAAGACATTTTGAAATTAGCTAAGCCTGAAGAAGTAAATGTCCATGGAATAAACAATGTTATCCGCACAATTGCTTCACATGGATTGGTCAATACCAGTTTAAATTCGAAAAAGGATTCAATTTATTTGACAAAGATGATTGAATAAAAGAACTAAGTACTATTGTTGTACGATGCTCTTATAGGGTACATTCTCTGTTATTAATAACACGATAGAGAGGTCATATATCCATTAATTCTTAAAAACAGTAAAATGTTAAAGTTATATAAACCAATAAATCAATTTGGGAAATATTCCTGATTTATAATCTTCAACAATTCTAAATCCAACACTTTGTAGCACTTTTAAGTAAAGATAGTACGTAAGGTTTGTATGTAAATACAACAAGACCTTTGCACCAAAAAATATTCTTTGAATTATACCATACTTCATCAAGTACAATTTATATATATATCCCAACTACTTAACTGCAATAGAAGCTGTATGACATCATAAGTTAATTTGGTAGCACTGTGCCCAAATCTTCTCTTCCAAAATAATGTGCGAGAAATGCAGATCAAAACACCAAATGTTTAGCCCCTCGACCACTTTTATAGACGACAAAGACCCAGCTCTATCTCACTAGGACTGCAATATGATTCCACAATCCAGGATTCACTACTACATCAAGCTACTTTTAGCTCTACTATCGATATTCATCATATATTCCTTATTCAGGCGTCACAAGGACCTATCCAATGATACATTAACTCATCCAGTTGACGAGGAGAAGTACTTACACGCATCGTACGAAAACAAACTAGCCAAATTGGCCGGTCATGACTCCCTGAATAGCCACCTCGACACTCGAGAAGTTGATCAAACTGTTCTTCAACAAATGGATAAAAAGGTTAGACATTGCCCCGATTATGTAACCTATTCTCAACATCGCCATCCACCCTTCTCCCAAGGTGTTCAAAAGTATCCCTACATGAGACCAGCTCCCAAATGTCGAACATTTGTGTCCGATGCAGTTGAATCGGTCATCAATGAGTTGAAACATAGAATCGCCGATCCTGATTTATCTAGATTGGTGGAGAATTGTTTACCAAATACGTTAGATACCACTATATTATGGCACAAGGTCAACGGTGATGATAATATACCCAGACATCTCAAAAAGCAAGTGTTTCCCCAATCATTTATTGTCACTGGAGATATACATGCAGAATGGTTGAGGGATGCAGCAAGGCAGTTGTCTGTGTACCAACCATTAATCAAGCATGACGCAAAGCTCAAACAATTGATTCTTGGGGCTATCAACACACAAGCATATTATGTCAACAATTCACCGTATTGTAATGCATTCCACCCGCCACCTACATCAAAAGTAGAACCAGGTAATACGGCGTTTGACAATGTGTACCCAAGACCAGATTGGCGACAAGTATTTGAATGCAAATATGAGATTGATTCATTGGCGTCATTCTTGACATTGAGTAACGAGTACTTTGAAAATTCGGGAGGCGACACCTCATTCCTTAATGAACTTTGGTTTAGCGCATACGAGAAATTATTGATTGTGTTGCGGAGAGAGAGCGAGCCATCGTTTGATGCTGAGACAGGACAAGCTTTGCCATTTTACTATTCGTTCCAAAGAGATACCAATATAGGATCGGAAACATTACCATTGGCTGGGGTCGGAAACCCTGTCAATTTCGGCTCTGGCTTGATTAGAAGTGCATTTAGACCCAGTGATGATGCTACAATTTTACAATTTTTCATTCCTGGTAATATGCATATGCTAACCGAATTGGTCAACATTAGAAAGAATTTTCTCAATGACAAAGTCCTTGCTAATCAAATGAATGCCGCCATTGAAGTGTTTATTAAAAAGACTGATTATTTTATCAAAGGCTTGACCTCTGGCATTGAAAAATTTGGCATTGTCAACCACCCGGTATACGGAAAGGTGTACGCCTATGAAGTTGATGGGTATGGCAGTGCGACATTTATGGACGATGCAAACATTCCATCCCTCTTGTCCATTCCCGATTTAGGATACTCTGCCAAAGATGATCAAGTGTATCAGAATACGAGAAAAATGATCTTGAGCAAAGAAGGCAACCCCTACTACTTGAAAGGTTTCCACTTTGAAGGAATTGGAGGGCCGCATATTGGTATAAGAAATGCTTGGCCAATGTCCTTATTGATGAGGATTAGAACTACTGACAATGATGATGAAATCATCAACAGTCTACACATGATTATGAACAACACGGCTGGGTTTGGTCTTATGCATGAAAGTGTGAATGTCAATTCTCGCCATGGTACTTCCTACACCAGATCGTGGTTTGCCTGGTGTAATTCAGAGTTTGGAAAGACTATATTACACTTGGCCGAGAAGAAACCACATTTGATATTCAGAGATGAGTGGAAAAGGCAACCATTTAAAGTAGACGATGTGTTTAGGACATAGTACAACAAAAATTAATAGATTATTCTTTCTTTATTGTCCTACTGTGATCTATTGATGTATTTGGCAATGTTCTCTGCAGTTTGCGACGATACAGGTTTTCCCCTGGCCTCCATTGCTTGTTGATACCTTGCTTGTAAATCAGCATCCTTGGCTGCGTCCAACTCAGACAGGCGATCTTCAGCAAAGGTATATTCTCTCGATGGATTGCCCAATTCTGCCAACTCTTGGGCCTCTTCTTCGTCAGGTAATATCTCTCCTTGTAATTCCTCGTCTACTTCATCATCATCAAAGTCAGACAATACCTCACCGTCTTGCCCTTGTTTCTTTTTGTCTTTCATATCCATATCTTTCATCAACTTGTTCAATGACTTGGTCTGTCTCTTTTTCTCATCCTCCTCCTTCTTTTTCAATATCCTTTCCCTTTCCGCTTTATAAAACTCATTATACTCATCCACTTTGTTGTCCACGGCATCCATAAACTCGTCAAATCCTTGACCCGTATAAGAGCTCACTCCAACCACATCTAGATTAGAGTAAAACTCTTCTAACATCAATGACATTGAATTGACCAAGCTGCTCATGTATCCACTCGATTGTTCTTGATTTTCTTCTTGGTCCTTTTGCACTGCCATTTGGAAATTTTCAAAATCACCCATCCATTCCTTGGCAAATTCACAACTTTGCACATCCGTCTTGTTGAAAACCACAATCATGGGAAGCTTGGTCTTGTATAAAATGGAGCACGCATAAAGCATATTAGACATAAATGTTGTTGGGCTTGTTGTTCTTGGTGTATCGACAATATAGGCAATTACCGTAGGGTACGATGATGCAAATGCTTCAGTTATAATAGACCCACTAGCACTCCAAATAAAACATTCGATTTGACCCGGGGTATCAATGATAACATTGGAAATTTTATCCTGTTTCTTATCAACCAATTTAAGCACTTGATCAATCTTGGTTGAAAATAAATTCAAAGACGTCACAATTGCCCCATTGGGTCCTAAATTGTATTCCTCCATTACTTTTTTATATTTTATTGAGTCTCTTATGTCGATATTGGCTCCAAAGGGAACTTTAAGAACGGCAGGATCCAAGTTTATCACGTATGGGATTTGCTTTTTGGAATGGATATGGGAGTTTAACCTCTGCATAAATGTCGTTTTCCCAGAACCAGCCATACCGATGCACAAAACCACCGGCTTTGGCTTTGGACTGGCTTCTGGTTGTGTTTGTTTGGCTTGTTCTGTAGTGGACATGGGTGTGCTACTAAGAGGGATGGCAATAGTGAGAGATGATCTAAAAGAAAAAGAGCAAACCTTTAAAGAAGATTCGATTTTTTTTTCCGTTTCTACTGTACACAATTTGCAACATTTCTCAACAGTTGATGCAATACAATACAATATAATACAATACAAGACCATAGACAGTATCATTACGCCTACACTATGCACCGTACTCTTCAAGAAACCTCTCAACAATTCCATCATAAACCGACTCATGGTCCAAAATTTGAATATTTTCCGCTTCTGCAGCAAAAACTTTATCAGCTTTAGGACCACCTGGCCCACCAATATTTGGCATTGGACCTTGCTGTTGTGATGCTTGCTTCATCAACTCTTCCGCTTCAGAAGAACCCATAAGAATCGAGTATATCGGTCTCAATCCAAATAAATTAACAAAGTACCATGAAATCGAAGACACATACCGAACATTTAAATTTGGCGTCATGATTCCATTCTGTAGCATACTCTTAAAGCCATCAGTTAATGGAAATGGCAATTTCATGATGACAAACCCAGCAAAGAAGTAATTGACCCATCCCATAATCAAAGTTTGCGGAATATAGTTGAGGAGATTTCCTTTGGCCATCTGCATTAAAGCGTCATTAGAGCTAGGGTCAAACGGATTGAATTGCTCATCCTTCTTGGAACTTTCGGCATAAAACTCGTCAGTGGATAGTTTTTCAATAAAGTACGCTTTAAACTGTTCAAATTCGTCGTTGGTTAAAACATGATTATTTTCTCGAAATGCTCGTGCTTGTAGAAGGAATTGACTAAGCCAATGTTAGTATTACTGATTGTCGACTTGCAGATTCAAGGTGTAAACATACGCTTCTCTTACCTTCTTATAAGGCTCAAGCTTTTTCTGTGGTTGCATCAAGTAAGTAACGTTGGATCGAAGTAATCCGACTAAAACCATCGCAAGTGAAATGGGTAATAGGACCCAGTACTTTAACTGGGGGTCTAGAAGTAAGTCTGGAACTAGCATGGTTGGCGATTGACCTGTGAGAAGAGGAGAAAGTGGCTGACAGTAGAATGCTTTGTGATGAATTGCGAATGTTCTGCTGATTTTGTCGAACAGCAATTTCTCTTTCTCTCTTTCCTCTCTCTCTCGTAAATATACAACGTTTGTGTGACATTAGAGGCTTAGACAACAGAGACACTCTATTTGCAGCCTTCCATGAACGGAGGTATGCTAGTACACCCGATGCTTAAAATAACTCTGTCTTCAAAAAAGCACTGCAAAGTTTGTACTGGATGACCACATGACTACTACTTGGGCGGAATAATACATATATAGTCACTACGACGATCATAAATGAGGAGTATTTAAAATTAAACCGCTGTACATTTATATGTGTATAAAAGGTCTAATTAATTCTCCAAGGAATGTGGTTGAAAGAGAATCTCCAATTCTCGTAATTTAGAGCTTCTCACTACCCAACAATGACCAGCACTTATCGAGCTGTTTCTTGGCTCATTATAGTTACATATTTAGCATCATACGCCTTTGCCAAATGGAATGGTCATATAGGCGATTCATGGGATTGTGTTTTGGACAACCCACCAAGAAATATCGACTCCAATACCAAGATTTATGATATTGACTTGTTTGACAGTTCAAAAAAGTTGATCAAGGACATTCACTCTAAAAAGAAGCAGGTCATTTGTTACTTCTCAGCTGGTAGTTTTGAAGAATGGCGTCCTGATGCCGGCAATTTCTCTTCTTCGGATTTAGGTAATCCCTTACATGAGTGGGAGGGCGAAAGGTGGTTGAATATATCGTCTGAAAAAGTTTATGAAATTATGGAGAAACGGATATTGTTGGCTAAGGAAAAAGGTTGTGATGCTATAGACCCCGATAATATCGATGGATATGAGCATAAAACTGGATTCAAATTGACAAAAGCTGACTCAGTTCAGTATGTTAAAAAGCTATCTAAATTGGCTAAAAAACAAAACTTGGCCATTGGGTTGAAAAACGGCGGTGATATAGTAAAGAAGGTGTTATCTAGCGTTGACTTTTCAGTACAAGAACAATGTGGCCAATATAGTGAATGCAAAAAGTACCAGCCATTCATCCATGCGAAGAAGCCAGTTTTCCACATTGAGTATCCTCCAAAGAAAAGCAAGCGGAGCAAGGTTCATTGGCCCTCTAAAGCTTACAAAAAGTACTGCACTTATAAAAACACCGGCGGATTCTCCAGCATTTTGAAGCAGTGGAATCTAGATGAATGGGTTTACCATTGTCCGAATAAATAAATAAATAAATAAATAAATTACTCTATAATACAAGCGACACAACAATATTACCAGCCAAAACATTCCGTATGCAAGTAAATTTCCTCTACGTTTGTATTTCTTAAATCATTGTTGAATACCAATAACTGAAGTTCAGATACAGTTTGTGAAACTTGCCTCTGCATTGAATTGCTTCCTGAGCAAACAAATATGTTTCTTCTTGATAAACTGGTTGTTAATGCATTCAAGATGGCACATACATCTGGTTTGCCATAAGTTATTGGAAGTCGGTATACTGGAGAATTTACCGATTCAACGCTCTTTTCAGCATCAAGCTTGTCATCAAGCTTGTTATCCATCTTTTTCATTTCAAGTAGATAATCACAAACTCTAATGTCCGCTTGTAGTTTGTTGCCTAGTACCTGTTGACACTTGATCAATTCATCTTCAATCCACTTTACATTGCTTTGGTTTCTCACCACCCAGATGAAGTTGATGCATTTCAAGTTGTCAGCTAGGGGCGACCC